ACTGTGGCTCAAGTGGTAGAGTGCTTGCCTTGAGCTGAAGAGCTCAGGGACAGCACCCAGGCCCAGAATTCAAGCCCCATGACCAAAAAAAAAAAAGGTTAGGCTTGCTGTTACAGCAGCTTGATAATCCTAGCACTTGGGAGAAAGAGGCAGAAGAATTGTGAGTTTGAGGCCAGCCTGAACTCACTTAACCGCCCCCCCCCCCCCAAACACCCCTACTCCAAAAAAAGTAATGTGAGTATAGAGAAAAATTATTGTGACATTTAAAGAATGTGAGATGGGAGGCCAAACATAGTACCTCACACCTGTAATCCCAGCTACTTGGGAGGAGAGATCAGGAGGATCATTGTTCAAGGCCAGCAAAATGTTGGCAAGATCCCCATTTTAAATCAGCAAGGTAGGCACAATGGTACATGCCTGGTCCCAGCTATAAGGGGGGCTGTTGGTAGGGGGAATAGTAATTCAAAGTCTGTCTGGGCAAACACAATGAAAAATAACTAATGCAAAGAAGTAATAGATTGCCTGTCTAACAAGTACAAGGCTCTGAGTTCAAACCCTAGTTACCACCAAAAGAAAAAAAAAAGAGAGAGAGAATGTGAAATGAGGACCAGAGAGGATGCTAGGCAGTAAGCTATGCTAGACCCATTTACAGATGAGAAAACTGGGATTCTGAGGGCTATTCATTCATCAACTGAGTGGTGAAGACAGACTTGGAACCCAGATGTATCCGAGGCTTAGCAGTTGTTTGAAGGTGTGCGGTTGATCCAGTGCCTGTATTCTGACCAGCAGTGTTTCATGTCATCAGATCTGAGCAGGGTAAGGTCTCACTTAAGCTAACAAATGATTGCTCACAATAGACGTGCCATTTAGGTCTTGATCCATGGGTGGTGGTGATTTGTTTCTTGGCTGCACAAAGACAGATATGTGGTGGTTCAGAAAGGAGGAAATCTGTAGATGAAAGGGCCTGCCCCAGAAAGCCACAGCAGCTGGGGCAGCGGAAGGTGGCAGGGGGCGGAGGGAGGGCATTGCCTGGATTCTCTCCTAGCCTCTCACTTCTGCCACTGTCCTGTGGCAGTAGGGTTTATGTTTTTAAACTATGTAGGTAGAACCTGGAACACTTCTCCCCCTCACATTCCGCTGAGTCAGGTTGTTCTAGAATTCCTGGAATTTGGCAAGTGTCAGCAGAGAAGTGGGGTAGGTGCTTACTGGTCTAGAACATGGCCTAGTGCAGGGTGCTGGAGGCCTGCTTCAGGCCCCTGGGCCAAAAGATCCAGGTCCTTGACGTACTGGAAGAAACTGTCCCTGTGAACCAGCTTCAAGAATTTTCCTGGGAGCAGTAATTAAGGCCCTTGTTTGATAGACAGGGCAGAAGGCTAGCTCATCATGGGGGTGTGTCTGTCCTGCAGACAGATGAACTGAGGCAGTGTTTGCACCAGCTCATGCCCCTAGGTGTCTTGTTTTACTTCCTGAATCTGAAAACTTGATGTTAGTTTCTCCATAAAGGAGAAATGTTCCTCTAGAACTATAAATGTTTTTTTTTGTTTTTTAAAAGACTTTAGCCTTTGTGCCTAGGTTTTAAATATTCTTGGTCCTGAGTTTTCAGTATTCCCAGTTATTTTTCTAAAGGGATTTGAATATCTACAACAGGACATATTACCTGGAAATTGGATTATATTTTCTCATTTCAATGTGCAGAATACAGTGTAAAAACTGCCACCACTAAGCAAGGCACTGGTGGCTCACACTTGTAAATCTAGCTACTCGGGAGGCTGAGATCTGAGGATTGCAGTTGGAAGCCAGACTGGGCAGAAAAGTCATTGAGAATCTTATTTCCAATTTAGCCCAAAATGATGGAAGTAGAGCTGTGGCTCAAGTGTTACAGCTCTGGCCTTGAGCACAAAAGCTCAGACAGTGCCTAGGCCCTGAGTGAGATACCTCTTGTAGTTAAGACTGTATACTGAAAGTGTCAGATCAGGAAAGGAGAATTTCGTGTCAAGTGTCTAAGGGCCAAAAGCTTGAACTTGAGACTCACTTAGTCCTGGGCTGGCTCTCACATGTGGCTACAGAGCCCTTTAAAGTGTGCTGGGATCAAACCGAGAGCCTGTGGGTGCTAGGCAAGCATTCTCCTGCTAAGCTATACTCTTAGCATGGGCACCTAGTTGGACCTGAGTTGTTCCAAGTATAAAAACTAAAGACTGGGCTGGGAATGTGACTTAGTGGTAGAGTGATTGCCTAGTATGCATGAAGCCTTGGGTTCGATTCCTCAGTACCACATAAACAGAAAAAAACAGAAGTGGCTCTGTGGTTCAGGTGGCAGAGTGCTAGCCTTGAGCAAAAAGAAGCTCAGAGACAGTGCCCAGGCCCTGAGTTCAAGCCCCAGGACTGTCAAAACAAAAACAAAAAACAAGATTAAAGACTTAGTATAAAACAAGAAATAGATAGTATTTTCAGTTACTAACATTTTTACACATTAAAATAATGTTTTGAATATACTGGGTTAAATATATGGTTAAAACTTTTCCTACTTTTGGGGCTGGGAAGGTGGCTCAGTGGTAGAGTGCTTGCCTGGCATGCATGAGGCTCTGGGTTCGATTGTTCAGCACCACATAAGCAGAAAAGGCCAGAAGTGGCGCTGTGGCTCAAGTGGTAGAGCACTAGCCTTGAGCTGAAGAGCTGAGGGACAGCGCCCAGGCCCAGAGTTCAGTCCCCACGACTGACCAAACACACACACACACACACACACACACAAACTTTACCTGCTTTATTTTTTTCTTTCTCCTTTTCCTTTTCTTTCCCTCCCATTCCCACTCCTCCCACTCCTCTCCTATGTCTTGTAATCTCTGTCTTCTCCCCTCCCCTCCTCTCCTCTCCTCTCTTCTTTCCTTCTTGGACTCAGAAACTTCTACCTCAACAGTGTGTGTATGGTTCAAACACCTACCAAATGAGTCATAGTTCCTAGGTAACTTTTAGGGCACCTATTTCATCTGGAAAATTCTCTGTGTCAGGCAGAGTGTTAAATGATAAGTGCTGAATATAGTTATGAGACAAACTTTAGTATAATTTTTTGGCATCTTGGGCATTTGTGTTTTGTCTGTACACATCAGTATTTGCTTTTTTCTTTTTTTATTGTGAGAATACTGTACAGAGGGGTTACAATTACATTGGCAAGATAATGAGTACATTTCTTTTTTTTTTTTATGAGTACATTTCTTATCAAGCATTGTAGCCTCCTCCTTTGTTTCCCCTTCCCACCCCTTCCCATCCTCCCCCCGCCCCCCCTAATATTTGCTTTTTTAAAATAAACTATCAGTACATTTATGTTGACTTTAGGAGGGAAAGGAGACTTGGAACACAAATTTACTCACTTAAGTTACTATTTTTTTAACTTTGGCATGTTTTTGATTGTGTCTACTTGTCCAGTGTCTAGTTTTCATCTGCTTTATCATACGGTTTCCATGAGACCAAGTGACATTGAAGTTTACTCTGAGCATTAGAATGGTAATAATGTTTTGTAAAATGTCAAAGATTGTTTGCAAGTGAAGTGAGAAGAGTATTAATATGTCTATTTAAGAAAGCTAGGGCCGGGCACTGGCTTACGCCTGTAAACCTAGCTACTCAGGAGGCTGAGATCTGAGGATCACGGTTCAAAGCCAGCTGGGTAGGAAAGTCCTCCAATAAACCACTAGAAAACCAGAAGTGGCGCTGTGGCTCAAGCGGTAGAGTGTTCGCCTTGAGCTGAAGAGCTGAGGGATAGCACCCAAGCCCAGACTTCAAGCCCCACTACCGACCAAAAAAAAAAAAAGAATGAAAGCTAGGCTTGCTGGGTGCTGGTGGTTCACACCTGTAATCCTAGCTACTCAGGAGGCTGAGATCTGAAGATCACTAGCAGGAAAGTCTGTAAGACTCTTATCTCCAATAAACCCCTAGGAAACCAGAAGTGGTGCTGTGGCGTTGCGGTGCTGTGAAGAGCACTCACCTTGAGCTGAAGAGCGCAGGGACAGTGCCCAAGCCCAGAGTTCAAGCCCCACGACCAACCCCCCTTTCCCCCCACAAAAAAAAGGCTAGGCTTTCAGCTAGGCACTGGTGCCTCAGGCCTGTAATTCTAGCTATTCAGGAGGCTGAGATCTGAGGATCGCGGTTCAAAGCCAGCCTTGGCAGGAAATTCCGTGAGACTCTTATCTCCAATAAACCACCAGAAAACCGTGAGTAGCACTGTGGCTCTGGTGGTAGAGCACTAGCCTTGAGCTGAAGAGCTCAGGGACAGTGCCCAAGCCCAGAGTTCAAGCCTCAGGAACAACAAGAAAAAGAAAGCTAGGTTTTCAATGTACATCATGTAAAAAGTATGTAACTTAAGAGCAGAGAAAGGAGGGGGAAAATGGGGGAGTATGAAGGGAGGGGTGACACTGACCAAGAAACAGTGTACTAAAAACCTAGCTTATGAAATGGTAATCTCTTTGTACAGCTATTTAATAATTTAAAAAATACATTAAAAAAATTCCACTAGGTTGACAGCACAGCTGTAATCTAAGCACTCAGGAGGCTGAGGAAGTAAGATCCTGAATTTGAGGCTAGCCTGGGCAACACACAGACCCTGTCTCCAAAACAAAACAAAAAGGCAATATAAACTAACAACAACAACAACAAAAGCAGACTGGACAGAATTAATTCATCTTCATATAATGTCAGGCAGAGAGAGTTGCTCAGTCATATGAACAAACACCTTTGAGTTTCTTGATTTTCCTGTCTGCTGTAGAACAAGGTAGAACAATATATTTAGGGTAATAGACATTGCTACCTGTCCTTAATCCAGACTTTTGGTTATCAAAACCATACCAGATTGCTCCTCAGCAGTGATCTGCCTGCTGAGTACAATCTCAGCAGCTTCTAGTCTTCAGAAAGCTGGCATTTGTATCACTGTTAAGTTTGGTGCCTGAGCCCTGTTTTCACACTGAATCATGGGTGTGCGCACTCTGATTTTAATGAATTTTTTTCTCCATCAGGGATGGATGAATGAGATTTACAACTATGATCCAGAGACTTACCGTGCGACTTTGACTCATTCAGTCTTTGTGAGACTTGAGGGTGGAACCTTAAGACTTTCCAAGCCCAATAAAAACATATCCAGGAGAGCGAGTTACAATGAAACAAAGCCAGAGGTCACCTACATCAGCCAGAAAATCTACGACCTCTCTGACAGCAAGGTGAGCATGAGTAATTTCAGAAGCAGACAGCTTAAATAAATGAAAAGCATGTCGAGTCTTGTTACTTTATTTCACACCCCTCTCCCCACCAAAAAAAAAGTTTTGTTGTGGTTATTTAGGAATCAGTATGAATTAGGAAAGTACCTCTCAAACTTCAGTGTACAGATGAATCACCTGAGCGTCTTTCAAAGTGCAGGTTCTTGTTCAGCAACTGTGGGCGAGGTTCTTCAGCCATACTGATGCTGCAGGCCCTCCAGCCACACCTCAGGAGCTGGGCGTCCTATACTCATAGGTGCCAGAATACTAATAAAGTCTGCTCTTTAAGTGTGGAAATTGTGCAGATGCAAGAGAACTACATTTTGGAAAAGTAATATAGATTCCATTTTTATGAGAAATATAAATTATTTGATACTCCACAAAGCTATATATTTTGGTTCTGATCATTTCATTTGAGTTATCTTTAAGGTTCTCCAAACAATGGAAGCATGGAATTTTTGTATACATTTTTTACTTGACACTCAGTATTGACTTAAGCTTCACATCTGAATTGATAATGTCTGCCCCCAGCTTAAATTTTACCCAGGGTCACTAGACTTAGGTGGTATCCAGACTTAACAGGTGATAATCAGAAAGGCATTATAATTATACTTCAACCTCCTAAAAGTCATAACTATTTGTACCTGTCAGATGATTCTTAAATATCTGCATTCTGGGATGATTTTGAAAAATGAATCATCTATAAAAATTTATTTCAATTTCTGTGGTCATAGATAGATGTTAAAACTTATTTCACTTTCATCATTTTAGTCAGAAGTTCTAGGATACTTGTGTTGGTGCTATGCATAATATTAACGCACAGTGTGTCTTCTCTTTGATATATGAATCATCATTTCCTTTCTCTGTAGATTTATCTTGTACCTAAAAGTTTGGCTCGCAAACGAATCTGGAATAAAAAGTACCCCATTTGTATCGAACTTGGTCGGCAAGATGACTTTATGGCTAAGGCTCAGACTGATAAAGAGACTTCTGAAGAGAAGCTACCAGCTGAAAGAGAGATGGGAAGCGAGGATCCTAAAAAGCCACCCCACCCACAAGAGGGAACAAGACCTGGCCAGCGAGATCAGATACTGTATCTGTTTGGGAGAACTGGCCGAGAAAAAGAGGAGTGGTTTAGGAGATTTATTCTGGCATCAAAGCTGAAGTCAGACCTCAAGAAGCCACCTGGTGTTTCTGGAAGCAAAGCAGGTAATGGCATTGTGCTAAGTGCACATACATTTTTAAAGTGCCTTTAGGGAGAAGATTGGAAAGGAAGGAAGGAAGGAAGCTCACCCTGAATTGGTTACTCTCTACCACTTGAGGTATGGTCTCATGATTTACGAACCTTTAGATTGATCTCTATAACTCTTTATGCCAAGTCAGTTCACCAGCAATGGGTCCATTTGCAGATACATGTGGTTAGTTTTTTGTGGTTCCCTGGAATTACATTTGCTTTGTACATATTGTAATGTTTTGAGGGAAGAGGCAACAGAAAAGTTTTGTTAAAGAAAGCATGAGGACTAGAGGTGGTAGAGCATGCACTTAGTATGTGCAAGGCCCTGAATTTGATTCCCAGCTGGGAAAAGGGGTGGAAAATGAGGTGAGTCTACGGGATACTTCAGGGGCTGGTGCTCTCAAGCTCCTAACGGAAAGATGGTCTCTTTGGAGTTTTCTGTGAGCGGTGGAATAGAGCTAATTTGCTTTCTGCTCACTTTCCATTTTGCCCTGATAGCATGCACCATTTATCCTGACTTTGGGCTGTGGCAGTGCTGTTTTGACCTTTTTCTAAAAGATCACCAGGAGCAAATAAATAAGTACCTGCCAGATGTACTTCATTGCTCCCATTTCTCTCAATTATCTTGGAGAAGAAGAAAACGTGTTCTAAACATTGGTTATCATGACATCCAAGGTATTTTTTTCCTGTGGAAAATAGCCCTGTAAATATATTTTAAGCATTTTAGCAGCTTTTCTACTTAACCCAGGGTTTTCCTGGCTCAAAGCCATTTTTGTCATTTGTACTAATAGCTATCACTTCCTTGCTCCAGGGCTTTTGCCTACCCACAGCAGGCACAGCAGCCCCTCCGGGCACCTGACCCACAGCCGAAGCAGCAGCAAAGGCAGTGTGGAGGAGATCATGTCCCAGCCAAAGCAGAAGGAACTGGTGGGCAGTGTGAGGCAGAAGATGCTTCTAGACTACAGTGTGTACATGGGCAGGTGTGTGCCCCAGGAAAGCCAAAGCCCCCAGAGGAGTCCTGTGCAGAGCGCAGAGAGCAGTCCCACAGCTGGGAAAAAGGTAAAGGTGCCTGTGACCAGGACTTTCTGCTCTTCTTGAACTCATTTCATCATGCATGAGAGATTGAGCACCCATGTGCCAGGCACTCCATGTTCTAGGCTCTGGGAACACAGGGTTGAATGAGATGGAAAAGGACCCTTGTGCTCCAAAAAGAGTTCATGCTCTATTCAGAAGGACGACAAGAAGTGAACATCTAGTGGTTCATGGGAACCAAAGCTGGCTAAAGGAGACCCAACTGCTGTTTTAGATGGGTTGTGGTGGAGAACGTGACCATAGCACTGTGAGGGAGGAGATTCTCAGAAGGGCCTCCAGCAGAAGTTAAGGCCTCATAGCAGGAATGTGGTTGGGATATTCCAGGAAGAGCAGTGAGGTTGGGGTGGCCAGACAATGGCCAAGGGCAAGAGAGGGAGGCTGCAGAATTAGCAGGATCTTGCAGATCAGTTTCTAGGGCGATAAGAGGCTCTGGGAGGGTTTGCAAGGAAGTGACATTGGTGACATTGGTCTAAGTCTTGTGGAGAACAGTTGTAGGAGGAAAGCAGTGGGTGAGAAGCCTGCTGCCATGAGGGTGGGCTGAGGTCAGGTGGCAGCAGCGGTAGTGACAGTTGACTGGCTGGAGGAGGAGGAGCTGGCTAGATTTGCTGCCAGCTGGGCAAGAAAGTCCATGAGACTCTATCTCTAACCACCAAAAGCTGGAAGTAGAGGTGTAGCTCAAGTGGTAGAAGACCAGTCTTGAGTGAAAAGCCAAGGGTGAGTCCCTAGTCCCTGAGTTCAAGCCCTGAAACTGGTACACAAACACACAAAATAATAATACTTCTATTAGGGTAGTGAGATAAGGGGTGTTTTCTACAATGCATACATGTTATTCTTACAGTCAGGGAAACAAGCAAAGATGGGAGAAGGGTCTTCTGTTGTATCCTGTCCTGGACCATGCTGATACCTGTGACACCTTTGTAGCAGCAGCTGTGGACAGCAAAACTCAGGAACGAGGCACTGAGCTCACTCTGTGGCAAAACGACTGGCTGGCATCATCCTTAGCCATTTATAATAGGAAATGTTACACTACAAACTTGAATACATTCATACAACTTTGGTTTTATTTATTTATTTTAGTTTTATTTTTTTGTCAGCCATGGGGCCTGAACTCTGGGCCTGGGCACTATCCTTCAGCTCTTCAGCTCAAAGCAATCATACTACTACTTGAGCCACAGCACCACTTCGGTATTCTGAGTGGTTTATTAGAGAGAAGAGTCTCCTGAACTTTTCTTGCCCGGGCTGGCTTTGAACCATGATCCTCAGATCTCAGCCTCCTGAGTAGCTAGGATTATAGATGTGAGCCACTGGCACCTGGCTCACCGCTTTGGTTTTAGAAGTTTTTTTTTTTGCCAGTCCTAGAGCTTGAACTCAGAGCCTAGGCGCTGTCCCTGAGCTTCTTTTGCTCAAGGCTAGTACTCTACCACTTGAACCACAGTGCCACTTCCAGCTTTTTCTGTGTATGTGGTACTGAGGAATCAAACCCAGGGCTTCATGCATGCCAGGCAAGCACTCCACCACTAAGCCACATCCCAGCCCTAGAAGTCAGTTTTTAATAAAATACATCTCAGCAGCTATTCAGACGGTCTGGATAGCCTTGTTCAGCCTCAGACCATTGAACTTCCCAAATGTTGTCTTTGGAAGCTGTCTGGGAAGTTATGCCTTCAAAACACAAGTGTGTAGTGGAAATAGAGAGATGAATATTCTCCTCACGTTCTCCCTGCAGCCAAATGGCAATATTAGGAAATGTCTGCACATTTATTCTTCTACCTCTAAATGTTTATGACAGTCGTTGGAAATGAGTTCTTCCGAGCAGCCCTGGAGTCCAGATCTCCGAGGCAAAGCTTCTTTGATGCATTGTCAGTGTTCTGCTGCTCTCGGCTTTCCTTTGTTCTTCGTGCCACTGTGGAGAGAAGTCTACATTAGAAAATAGGAACTGTCAGAAAGGAAACCAGCCTGTCAGTTATTTCAGCACATCATGTGCCATTGGCTTGGACATACGTTGTGAAACAGCCTTTGTTTCTTGCTGTTTTATGTGAAACCTGTTTCCTGTGAAGACCAGCATTGTAAAGAAAAGCTGATAAAGGGGGTGACTCTCCTGGTTTTTGTTTGTTTGTTTGCTTGTTTTTTGTTTTTGTTTTTGGTCGGTCGTTGGGCTTGAACTCTGGCATGGGCGCTGTCCCTCAGCTCTTCAGCTCAAGGCTAGCACTCTACCACTTGAGCCACCGTGCCACTTCCTGCTTTTTCTGTTTATACGATACTGAGGAATGGAACCCAGGGCCTCATGCTTGCGAGGCAAGCACTCTACCACTGAGCCACCTTCCCAGCCCGACTCTCCTTTTTGAGAAGGAGAAAAGCAAACTATTCTCTCTCTCTCTCTCTCTCTCTCTCTCTCTCTCTCTCTCTTTTTTTTGTCGGTCATGGGGCCTGAACTCTGGGCCTGGGCACTCTGAGCCTTTGGCTCAAGGCTAGCACTCTACCACTTGAGCCACAGTGCCACTTCCGGCTTTTTTTTTCTTATGTGGTGCTGAGGAATCAGACCCAGGGCCTCATGCATGCAAGGCAAGCACTCTACCACTGAGCCACCTTCCCAGCCCCAGAGAGTCAGGGCTAATAGGGGGTAGCAGCTTGGAACTGTGTAGATAGCCTGGTGGTCATTGGTGTCCCATTGATGACTGTGTAGATAATCTCCTGGAACTCAAAGACCATAACTTCTCAAAGGCTGCACTTCATTGTCTTTGGGACCCAAGATGTCAGGCAGAGAGAAAAGTGACAGTAACACAGAACTTGTAGCATGACCGAGCAATTGTTGTCTACGACCTGGTGTAGTCTTCTGCCTGTCCGTCCAGGACCTGTGGCAGAAAATGTCCTCATTAATGTCCAAAGACATGACAACACTAAAAAAATCCCAGATAGAGTGGCCACAGCCATTGGAGTGAGGTAGGGCCATGTCTGAAATGCAAGAACCAACATGTATTTGTTTGAAACTAGGATTTCTTTTTTGTTGTTGTTAAACAAGATTCTTGTTGGGCTCTGGGTAGTTCACACCTATAGTCCTAGCTGCTCAGGAGGAATAGCTACTGGATCTAGAGGATTGTGATTCCAAGCCTGCCTGGGAAGAAAAGTTGGATAGACTTATTTTCCAAATTCCAGCAGAATGTAGAGCTCAAGTGGTAGAGTGCCTGCCTGGTAAGCCAGCCAGCTGAGCAAGTGCATGGCCCTGAGTTCAAGCTCCAGTATTGCCCCTCCTCCCCCTCATCAATACTCATGAGAGACCTTGGAAAACATCCAAATAAGTATTCTTAGGGCTGGGAATGTGGCTTAGTGGTAAAGTGCTTGCCTGGCATGCATGTAGCCTTGGGTTTGATTCCTCAGTACTACATAAACAGAAAAAGCCGGAAGTGGCACTGTGGCTCAGTGGTAGAGTGCTAGCCTTGAGCAAAAGAAGCTCAGGGACAGTGCCCAGGCCCTGAGTTCAAGCCCCAGGACTGGGGGTGAAGGGGGCAGGGTCGGGGAGAGAAGCATCCCTAGAACATGGCATATGTAGTAGCATAAGACTGAAAAAATTTGAGTGAACTCCCAGGTCTCCAAAGAGAGCAAACACAGATAGCTTTGCCTTGAGAAGTAGTCAGGGATGCTGAGCAGTCTACTGGGCTTGGGCAAGGCCCTGTGTCTGGCTCTCTGGCTCAGACCCTCAAAAGTCTGGACTTCAGAACTGTCACATGTAGCTTTGTCCCCAGACCGTGGGGAGCTTCACAGTCAGACTGCAAGTGACTTATATACTGTACCCCTGGCTTAGGCACACAGTTGTGATGTGGGACAGTTACAGCTGCTCAGAACAGGTCACACTGGCATGAATGCCCAAGTACAAGGCACAGAGAAGATGACCATGAGTGGCATATGGCCATAGCATGGGTGCTGGATAGATATGAAAGGGTGAGCAATGTACAGCTTCCTGCACATCTGGATCTTTTGATTTGCTTTCCAAAGCTCATTGGTTCTATGGTGCTATAAAAAAAAAATTCTGTATAGCCGGGCGCTGGTGGCTCACGCCTGTAATCCTAGCTACTCAGGAGGCTGAGATCTGAGGATCACGGTTCAAAGCCAGCCCGGGCAAGAGAGACCGTGAGACTACTATCTCCAATAAACCACCAGAAAACCGGAAGTGACGCTGTAGCTCAAGTGGTAGAGTGCTAGCCTTGAGCTGAAGAGCTGAGGGACAGCGCCCAGGCCCAGAGTTCAAGTCCCATGACCGACAAAAAAAAAAAAAAAAAAATTCTGTCACACTCAGGGGGAGGAGGGAGATGACGTGACTTACCTAAAGGTCCACCCAAAGCAAGAAGAGAAAGGAGAGAAAAGTCTCTGAGTCAGGCTGACAAACTAGGGACTTCTCATCTCTCACATGGGAGCAGATTCACTCACATCTTTACCAGGGTACTGGGACACATGAATGAGACATCTTGAGGAATCTTGTATGTGAACAGCAGTATGTGGACTACAGCAATAACCACAGTAACAACGCTGCCTTTCTGAGTTCTGAGCCCATTACCTGTGCTAGCATTGAATTTCACAGTGCCTCTGCAGCTATTGCTGCTGTTTTCCCTCCTTTATCCCTGTCTCTAGTCCTTGCCAGACTGAGACACATTGTCTGCTCCTAGCCTAGGACATTAGAGGCATAGCTTTGCTCACAGCGGCCAGGGAAGATGTTTCAGGAAGGTGGCTGTATCAAGGGCAGTTGAAGGCGAGTTGGGGAGAACAGCTGTCCTATGGCACACATCCCATCTCTTAATCTCATGGAGAGGAGGTTTTTGAAACTCCTGATGCAGCTTAACTCAGTGTTTTTGGAGGCGTGATACAAGCAGGCATCAGTATTTTTAAGATCAAGATCAAGGCCAAACTTGAGTTCTGGCCAATGGGAAACTGAGTTCTTCCTGGAGAAGTATGGGCCTGACGAGTACATGTCTAGGCCTCAGCTAGGAAAAAGAGAAAGTAGGCATTTGATAGATAATGTTGTTGATACCAAGTTAATTTAGGAGACTGGGTGATTTTTCTGAGATAATGCTGTGGGATATTAGCTGTTCACAGGAAGACTGGTAGAAAAAGAAAACAAGGTTACAGCTGCAATGGCGGCTTTCATTTCTCCTTTTTCTATTCACAGTCATGACATGGGACTTGTAATTTATAGGAACAAATCTCAGCTCATGCAGTCCTGTTTCCATAGGAAGGGCCTTCCGAGACTTTTTGAAAATAAGCACCTGTCTTATTCTCCAGTTGTCTCCTAGCTAATTTTGGTTCCTTTTCTTTTACCAGTTGCCAGAGGCTCCACCCTCTGAGGAGGGAGAACGAGAAGCCTGGGTGAATGCCTTGCTTGGAAGAATATTTTGGGACTTCTTAGGCGAGAAATACTGGTCAGATCTGGTGTCTAAGAAAATTCAGATGAAACTCAGCAAAATAAAGGTATTGTTTTCAATCCACGAGGCTTCTAAGTCCCCAGTTCTTCATTTCTGGATGTTCTATGTCTCTTTTTCTAAGTGAAAAGTAACTTAAGCATATACATACGAGGGTGCAAAGTTCTTCTCAGGCAACACATACAGACCACATCTGGGGACCCACATGAATGTCCTGTCTACTTGTCTTCTTATGTTGCCACATCCTTATGACTTAGGAAGATGTGAGCTCCTGAAAGTGATTCATCTTAAGTAGTTCTCTTTGAATTAGAAACAATCTTCAATTGTCTATCCAGAAACCATCTAGGCTTATAGTGATCCAGGCTGAATGGTCCATTTGAAAGAAATCCTGGGCCAGTTAGCGCCAGTTCTAAATATGTCTGTGGTTGACCTTTGCTTTTGGCTAGGTAGTACTTTATTTTGGGCTCTCTGCTGAAGAAACACTCTTGATGCTAAGCCAGGCCCACTTGGAAGTGAGTTAAATCTGCCTAAGTGTTCCTTATAATGGTCATTAAAGTGTCATGTGCTAACCAGGAGACTTTTTGAAGGCTCCTTAGATGCAAATCTTGAGCCTGACCAAAATCCTACCAAGGGAGAATACTTTGGTCCCCAAGTCTTCATTGAGACTTTGCATGGCTGGTTGCTTAAGACAGTGGGTCTGAAGTGTTTTGGATAATTGATACCTTCAAAAAGCAGAAACATGTGGATCCTTTCCCTTGCTAAAAGCATGCTGAGCCTGGCACAGTGTGCAGATCTGTAATCCCAGCTGTGTTGGAAGGGTAGGAGAATTGCAGTCTGAGGCCACCTGCAGAAAGGTCTGGAGGCTGTGGCCCAATACCTCTAAAGGGGGAAGGGGGGGAAGCAAAAGAGAATACACACGAGAAAAATTGAAAATTTTACTCATAATTTTAGAGAACTCTAGGTCAAGAAACTGAGCTTACGTAAAACTAGAAGGAAACACGAGCATAATGAGCTTCAGTTCGATTTTAGTCTTTTCTCTGGGTAAAGAACATCCATATCTGAGTGCTGGTAGCTCTTGTCTATAATCTTAGCTATTCAGGATGAGATCAGGATATGGGTTCAAAGTGAGCTTAGGCAGAGAAGTCTGTGAGACTCTTATCTCCAAATAACCACCAGAAAACCAGAAGTGGAGCTGTGGCTCAAAGTGGTAGAATGCTAGCCTTGAGCACAAAAAGCTCTGGGATAGTACTCAGACCCTGAGCTTAAGTCCCCATGACAGACATCCCCCCCCCCCCCCCCCCCCGCCAAAAAAGCCTAGTCAAGTTATGGCAGTATACCTGCCACCTGCAGATGGGTATCTCTTCCTTCCCCTCTCCCCTGCAAATAAAGAAAAGGAGCTGTCTTCTGCAACTGGAAATACAGAATTGGGGGCAGAGCTCTTTGTGTTCTCCAAATAAGTTGAGGATTGATCCCACTTCTTCTAGCCAGGCCCATTGGAAGGGCAAGCTTGCCCTTTTTCCAAGGTGGGAAGACAGCTCTTGGATCAGAAAGAAAGTAGGGTATGTTTAAGCTCTCTCCTGGCCAGTGGTTTCAAACATTCCAAAGGCATTGGGAGGCATTTCCCAGCCTTCTCTCGGGAATTCTGGTGCCTTAGCCTTATGGTGGAGTATGATTGCTTCTTCATTCTGTAAGAAGTCAAAGAAAAGCCTCCCTGCCTGCTTTCCTATTTCTCTTCCTTCCTCCTTCCCTCTCTTTCTTGGGGGTGGTGGTGCTTGAACTCAGGACCTGGGTGCTATCCCTGAGTTTTTTGCTCAAGCCTAGTGCTCTACCATTTGAGCCACAGCTCCACCTCCAGCGTTTTGGTAGTTAATTGCAGGTAAGAGGCTTACAGATTTGTTTGCCTATATTGGTTTCTGTCTGCGGTCCTCAGATCTCAGCCTCACGAATTTATAGGCATAAGCCAGCAGCTCACATGCTGGACATGTAGGCTTTTGCAGAAGTTGAAGGAAAGTCTCAGACTCTGATTTTCTCCTTGTGCTGGTCATGTAGGTTTTTACAGTCCAAAAGCTTAAACTTCCCCTTGCTTTTGCGGTCCAAAGTACTAAAAGGTTAGAATGGAAAAGAAGGGGCTACATTTAGCAGTCAGAGAATTCAGAAGGGGCTGTGACCCTTCTGTTGTCAGCTCTGCCCTCACCTCCCACCTGGACTGCTGCCTCACAAAGTGACCTGAAGACAAGAGGAGATCCAGTCAGGAACAAACAGGGAGGCAGGAGGATAGTTGCAGCATCTAGACTTGTCCTGCAGTCTCAGATCGTCACCCCTGCACATGAAGATGGCTGTTGTGAAAGAGCAGCTGTGTGCACATCTGGTGCCCCAGAATGACTTTCAGACAAACTGAGTTTCTGCACCAGTAGCAAGTATGCTCTTAACTTTGGCAGCAGAGGAAGTATAGTCTTGGGGCTGTGGGATTTTGTATCATCAGATACTGCTGTCATTGCACACGGTGTTTGACTTATCACCCACTACCCTGAGCATGTCCAATATACCTGACAGTTCTGTAACTATTTGAGTTTACTCAAGAGGATAAGAAAAATAAAATGTTCCTAGGTTCCCATCTCACTGAAGGGGCCTTTGAGTGGGAAGCAGTTTCTAAGTTGAATGTCACAAGAGAGTGAGGTCTCTTGCTTTCTTCAGGGTAGGAAAGAGGCTGCTCCTGGACAGAATGCTGAACATGAAAGGAGGAGCTAGCTGTAGGTGTTCTAGATTCTTGGGTTTGAGCAGGTAGATGGGTGAACAATAGGGAAAAGGACCTGTTGGTCATCCCTCCCCACTATGTTCATTATAGTTGGAAGCCACCCACTGTGTTCCTTCTCAGTGCCAGGTGGCTTCAGGGTCTGTCTCAGCTCCTTCTGTCGCCTTATGGGGAACATAGAGTACAAGATGTGGTTGAAAGAGAGGTGTGACAGAAAAAAAGGGACAGTTACCTTCCTGCTTCAGGTCAGTGTGAGACTCATGTTGCTATGGAAACACTGTTGAAGGTAGCCTATTCCTTGGCCAGCCTTAGGATGTGTCACTGACCTGACAGGTTCCTGAAATGCTGGGTCTTTGAATAACAATAACAGAAAAAAAAAAAAAAAAAAAAAGCATGGCACCAAGTATGCAAGATTTGGGTACGTGCTTGGCCAAGTAGCATTTTTTTAGGTTGATAAGTCAACTCTACTTAAAAACATTCATGCTTTGGAAATTTTCCCCAATATGGCAGCCAACAATCCACAAATACATTTGAACTCTGGGTTTATCACAGATATAAATACCTCTGTCTAACATAAACTACCTTAGCTCTATAAAGAATCAGACATGAAGTTCTCTATTTGGTAAGGTGAACCTTGAAGTTGATGCTCTTCTGTAGAGAGGCAGCTGAAGAGATCCAACCAAGTCGCCTGACCACATGGAGCCTCATCCTGAGGGGCATATTCAGCTGTTAGTTAGTTTTCAAAAGTCTTAGTTTTTATAAACTTACTTTAATGTTCAAGAGAAGTCTGTGAGGATAGAAAGGACTAGGACCTGCCACATTTAAAAAATGTGTTAAGCTCTGCACTGGTGGCTCATGCCTGTAATCCTAGCTACTCAGGAGGCTGAAATTTGAGGATCCTGGTTCAAAGCCAACCCAGGCAGGAGAAAGTCTATAAGACTCTTATCTCCAATTAACCATTAGAAAACCAGAAATGGCACTGTGGCTCAATGATAGAGCTCTTGCCTTGAGCTGAAGATCTCAGGGACAGCGCCCAGGCCCAGAGTTCAAGCCCTACAACCAACACCCCCCAAAATATGTTAAAGAATGCTCTAGTAGTAAGAGCAGTTTGATACTGGCAAAAACCAGGGAGCTCAATACAGAGTCCAGTGTGGTGGGGAATCTATATTTAAAGATGGAAGTAAAGATTAGTGCTCCATAAATAGATTGAGATTTACTAACCCATTTGTGGGGAAGAATAAATTGGATCACCGATTTGCATGTTACATTAAAATAACAATATGAAGACTTAAAAATAAACAGACAGGAGCGTGGTATAAGTGGTAAAGTGCATGCCTACCAAGTCCAAGGCCCTGAGTTCAATCCTCAGTAATGAAAAGAACAGAACAAAACTACATACACAAATCCAGACAGGAAATAATGAAATAATTGTACAATCTTGAGATAAATAGGACTTTGTGACCATGACACCAATATTCTTACAATTTTTGTCCCTCTAGAATAAATTCTGCTGATAAATTTGGGGGTGTGGATTAGTCAAGGTCCGGCATGAATAACCAGATGATGTTACACTCAGACGAATAACTGGAAGGGATGTAGGAGTCCAGAAGGGAGACTGCAGAACATCTGGGCCAACAGAAGTGGGGAGCTGTGCCCTTCCCTGAAATTACCAGACCTCAGAGTAGCTATATGGAGAACTGCCTGCTCACTGGAGCTGTGTCCTTCAGTGAGGGAAGGACACAAGCACCTGACAGCACTTCTCCCTGACTCCTGCCCCTTCCCATTGGTATATCCTGTTACCAAAGTCCAACCAGAAGGCAAGAGATAGTGGATGCAGTCTACACAGACCAGCTGCAGTACAGAGGATGATGGAGTGTGGACATGGGGCAGACAGCAAATGTCCAGCATGGGCCGAAGGGATATGATTTTTTTTTTTTCAAGAATTTCAGCATATGTGATAGGTTTGTTGAAGCGTTGTAACAATTTCTGACTCCCCATTTCTAATCTAAGAGAGCTTCATTGCCCTAAACTTTACCAACTCTTGAGTCTTACTGATTCTCCAATAGGGCTAGCTCCTTCTCCACAAACAGATAGATCTCTTGTCATTTGCCATGCCTCAGAGAAGCTTGATTGAGCCCCCCGCCCCAACCCCCAACCCATTACTTGCTTTAAGAGGTTATAATGAGACTAAAAGTGGACCCCAGCCTATCACCATGCACCAGCATCATCTCAAAATGGATTAAAGACCTTAACATTAAACCTGAATCTCCGAAACTACTGCAGGACAGAGTAGAAGAGACACTTGAACTTATAGACACAGGAAGGAACTTCCTGAACAGAGTCCTAGGGTCACAACAAATTGGAGAGAGACTTGACAAATGGGACTACCTTAAAATAAAAAGCTTCTGCACAGCTAAAGCTCTCGCAACCAAGCTAGAAAGACAACCAACTAATTGGGAAAAAAATATTTACCAGCAATATATCAGACAAGGGGTTAATATTCAATATATATAGGTAACTCAAGAAACTAATCCTCCCAAACCTAACAAACCAATTACTAAATGGGCAAGGGAACTAAAGAGAGACTTCTTAGATGAAGAAATAAAAATGGCAAAGAAGCACATGAGGAAATGTTCATCATCCCTGGTTGTGAAGGAAATGCAACTAAAGACAACCCTGAGATATTACCTTACCCCAGTCAGAATGTCCCACATCCACAAGTCAGCCAGTGACAAATGCTGGAGGGGATGCAGAGAAAAAGGAACCCTATTACACTGCTGGTGGGAATGTACACTTATACAACCACTTTGGAAAGCAGTCTAGAGGGTCCTCAGAAAGCTAAATATTGACCTCCCCTATGACCAGCCATACCACTTCTAGGCATCTATCCTGAACAACAGGAACCAATATACAAGGACACATGCACCTCCATGTTTATTGCAGCACTGTTCACAATAGCTAAGATAAGGAAACAACCCAGATGTCCCACCATAGATGAATGGATCCAAAAATTGTGGTATCTGTACATAATGGAATATTATGCAGCCATTAGAAATGACAAAATAATGACATTTGCAGGGAAATGGATGGAGCTAGAAGAAATCATGTTGAGCGAGGTAAGCTAAGAGCAAAGAGACAAATGGTACATGGTCTCCCTGATAAGTGGATGTTAAATCCAAAATATTAGGTGATACGACAAAATTAACAGGACTTAAGAAACAAAGAACTTCTACTCATCTGCTCGAACCACTACTAAATAACCCCATGCTGCTGATTACATGTATGGTGTATATGTGTATACCATTATATGTTAGAGACCGTGATAGACAGTTTGCTCCAGGAAAGTTAGAATGTGTTTGTGACTTTTAACTGAGCATCACTATCCCACAATACTGTGAAATTTGGGAAATTATGTAATCACTTAATCACAGTTTTTAAAAAAGCCAGAAAAAAAAAGAGGTTATGATATTTGTCTACTTATTTATCTCTGCCTCTCCAGTAGAAATCCCATGAAAGCAAGGAACTGGATACTTTGTATACAATGAAATTTGGTTAAATAAATGATGTGCCCCCCAAACTTTGGCCACCATCCCCTCTAAGAGTATGTTGAATTCTGACTTACCTTAATATTTTTAATTAACATATTTTATTAGCATACATCAATTTGTATGGGGGGAGGTTATCTTAGCATTGCTGCTAGGTTGCTAATGTCTCTCCATTCATTGTTTGCTTTTTTTCTCTAGCTCCCCTACTTTATGAATGAGCTAACGCTGACAGAGCTTGACATGGGAGTGGCTGTGCCAAAAATCCTTCAGGCCTTCAAACCTTATGTTGATCACCAAGGTAACTGTTAACTGACTCTAGGGTAGAACTTACCGTTGATGTGAGTATTCAAATGTTTCCCTTGTTTCAAGGCTTTGTGCTTAAAGGGAGTTAGGATCTTCTTAACCATCCTTTTCCATGCTGGGCATCTTTTGTTCTTAACAACCACAGCTTTTCACTATGGAGAATGGATCCAGGCTTTCCCTCCTATCCTCCTCTCTCCCACTTGTCAGGGGCTGAGCTTCCATGCGGGTTGCAGCTCTTTCCAGGGTGTGAACAGTGGTCTGGGTTTCAGCCCCACTACCCTCTTCCAGGCTTCTCTCATACATCTGCCCTGGCTCCTTCTCTATTCCAACTATTCCCATCACATCTTTACCTTGCCCCAACTTCTAGATCACAACTTTTTTTTTTTTGACATTCCTATCTTTGATCTCTATATTCTTAAACTCCTAATAGGCATTCAGTGTTTGAAAGATGAAGACATATGTTCAAAGGCAATATTTTGAGAGAGAGACTGTCTACTTGGAAGAAAGCTCTCAGATTTAAGTTTTTTGTTTTTGTTTTTGGGTCCGGTCGTGGTGCCTGAACTCTGGGCCTGGGCGCTGTCCAGCTCAAGGCTAGAGCTCTACCGCTTGAGTCACAGCGCCACTTCTGGCTTTTTTCTTTTTTGCTTGTGTGGTGGTGCTGAGGAATCGAATCCAGGGCCTCAAGTATGCAAGGCAAGCGCTCTACCACTGAGCCACCTTCCCAGCCCTCAGATTTAAGTTTTTAAACATGCTACTGATACTTTATCAACACTTGACTCTATGAATGAAGGAAAAAAATCTGAATGTGGAGAGAATCAAAAAGAATTATAAGGATGATGTAAAGATTTATGTCTTTAGTGTCATGTAGTCTTAAAAGGATCTCAGCAGGGAAAACAGTAAAAAGGAGAACTAGGCCAAGTATATGGAGCAATAGCCTGTTGACATGTAGGAAAAGTCTCATCATTTTCTTTACTGTAGCAGCCCTTGCTACTGAACCCCTATCCACTCACACCCTATTTACCTTATTCCTAAACTAGCCCAGGAACAAGGTGGGAAAAAAGGAAATACAGAATTTCAAGGGAATATAAGTCAATGTTTTTTAGAATTGGTAAGGTATAGGAGTAACTTTTCTCTGAGCATGCCTGTAATCCTAGTTATTCAGGAGACAGATCTGAGGATCATAGTTTGAAGCAGCTTGGGCAGGAAAGTCTGTGAGATTTTTTTTCTCCAACTAACCAGCAAAAAAGTTGGAAATAGAGGGGCTGGAGGTTTAGCCCAGTGGAAGGGCGCCCGCCTGGCGCGTGCAAGGCCCTAGGTTTGGTCCTCAGCCCTGGAAGAAAAAAAGAAAAAAAAAAAAAGGAAAAAAAAAAGTTGGAAATGGAGATGTAGCTCAAAATGCCAGATTGGAGTGAAAAAGATAAGGATAGCACCCAGGCCCTAAGTTGAGGCCCCAGGACCAGCACCAAAAAAAAAAAAAAGCAATTTTTTTCCGTATTGATTTATCAGGTGACTCTTTGATTTAATTAAATTTTTTTCCAGTTATATTCGAGGTAAATATGAGGTTTTTTTGTTTTTTGGTTTTTTTGGTTTTTTTTTGGGGGGGGGGGGTCCTGTCGTGGGGCCTGAACTCTGGAGCCTGGGCGCTGTCCCTCAGCTCTTCAGCTCAAGGCTAGCGCTCTACCACTTGAGCCACAGCGCCACTTCCGGCTTTTTTCTTTTTGCTTATGTGGTGCTGAGGAATCGAACCTGGGCCTCAGGCATGCAAGGCAAGCGCTCTACCACTGAGCCAACTTCCCAGCCCAGGTTTTTCTGACACTACAGCTAGTAGCTCTGCAGATCTTTCTAGTAATATTTCAGCTGACAGTACACTGATCATCCGATTGATTTCAGAGAAAGATAAGAGTATTGGCAAATCTAGATGTCTACATGATACCTACATGTTCAGGTCTCACCCCTCAATTACATCTGCATCTTAGTGAATCTGAGTGCTGCTGGGTTTTGGTAATTTCTGGTTCACTGGAAAACTAGGCAAGATTGGAACTCTTGCAGGTGGTTTAGATGGAGTTTTTAGTAACATGCACAATTTTAAAAGATATTGCATTGATGTGTTAGCTGCATAGCTGTGATCCATCTCATTGATGTAAAAAGCTATCTCCCTTGCCTTCCTCTCTGTTGCCCATTGGTCTTTGCCTCTTCAGGCAAACTGACTGGTATCAAGCTGATAAATGACCAGCTCACACAAACTTCCTGAGAGTCAGGCTTTTAAAAACTAAATATGTAGACATGCTATATTTTCTAATGTGCTAGCACTCTCTTATCTAAGAACTGTTCTTTGCTGAACTAATAGGAATTTTCAAGGAGAGGGTACAGGGCCACGGAGGGCTTTGTGGCATGTAAGAAGTATCCCTGTGGCTTTGAACTCTCTGATCTCCCGCTGCTTTGGTCAGACTTTGAGGATAATTCAAGACCTAAATTTTGAACTTCTTTTCTGTTCCTCATGAGCAGGATCTGGGGGCAAGACATTTCAACTATAAATATCAAAGCTTTCATGATTTTTAATCCATCTGAGACTTCTTTCAAGGCAAGTTTTAGAGATCTGCCTACATGGATAACTAAGGAGGAAATGTTACAGAGAAAGGCACAAAAAACAAAACAAAACAAAAAACTCCATAAAGGTTGTATGGTTAAATCTTTCCAAGTCTACAAATAATGTATGTATGTATGGTAAAACAGAAACAAAAGAATGCACTCACTTGTTCCCTAATGACAGAGGCATATTCTAAGAACAGAGTCACTAGTTGATTTCTTCATGCAAACATCATAGTGTGCTCCCCCAAACTAAGACTACTACGACTAATACAGTCTTGTAGGGCACCCTCTACATGTGGTCAATCATTAACAAAAGTCATTGTACAATATTTTGAATTCTGTTGCTCTACGGAAGAGCTTCTCCTTTGAAAGGAATTGAAACCCAGGATGATTTACCAAAACTGAACCTGAGTTCTCAGGGAAGCACAGCCCAAGCAAGGAGATTTTAGTGTCTCCAAGGAGAGGCACTCCCATGGGATTCTCTGATGCCCTTTTAAGAAACAGGCTCCTGGGCTGGGAGTGTGGCTCAGTGGTGGAGCGCTTGCCTAGCATGCATGAAGCCCTGGGTTTGATTCCTCAGTACCACATAAGCAGAAAAAGCCAGAAGTGGTGCTGTGACTCAAGTGCTAGCTTTGAGCAAAAAAAACTTAGGCCCTGAGTTCAAGCCCTAACATGGGCAAAACAAAAAAACAAAATCAAACAAAAAACCAGGTCCCAATTTATGCTTGCTTGCTGGAGGCCCGTATCTCAGAAGGGATATTTGGGGCCAGAGCTGATTGTATTACTCTGTTCTAGTAACTCAGGTAAAGAGAACATTTCTTCTTAGATAATGCTGGTGTGCTTCTTAATATAATCTAGAATGAGGTCCTGGAGCCAGAACACAAGGCTCACAAGCTCATGGCTTTGGGCAAGTTCCCAACCCTCTGTGCTTCAGCTCTTTTTCAAGGGACCCTCACAGCACCTACTCCATAGCTTTCACAAAGATTACATGAGTTATACATTTTTGTTACACTTGTCTTATATATAAATTAATCTGGTTTTTTGGGGGGTAAGGGCATCACAAATGGTGGGACAAAGGGTAATACTGTGTCTAGTGATATTCACTATACAACTATACATCTTATAGAGGAAGGGGATTGGGAAGGAAAAACTGGGAGAAAACAAGAGAAGAGGTGACACTGTTCATAAAGAAATGTACTCATGGGGCTGGGAAGGTGCTCAGTGGTAGAGCGCTTGCCTTGAATGCATGAGGCCCTGGGTTTGATTCCTCAGCACCACATAAGCAAAAAGAAAAAAGCCAGAAGTGGCGCTGTGGCTCAAGTGGTAGAGCACTAGCCTTGAGCTGAAGAGCTGAGGGACAGCACCCAGGCCTAGAGTTCAGGCCCCACGACCAGACCTAAAAAAAAAAAAAAGAAATGTCCTCATTACTTGACTTACGTAACTATAGCTCCTCTGTACATCACCTTTACAATAAAAATTTAAAAAGAAAAAGTACAAGCAGTATGTACAAATAGCACCTGAATAAGGCAGGTACTTTATAGGCTCTGGCTATTATTATTTTACTCTTGGTTATTATTACCATCAGTGCTGCTGTTGCAGAGTTTAGGATGTGGATGGCTGAACCAAGATCTTTCAAGACATTTTATTAACTCTTTTAAGAGTGATGTTTACATTTGTTCATCGAGCAAACATGCATGTAGGAAACTGAATTAGCTATAAAAGGTAAAGAGGAAAATGTGACTATCCCTCTGTTTAGAGATAGCCAGGCTATTTTTTGAGGGGTACATTTCTGATCTTTCTTTCTTTTTGTTTTGTTTTTTTTTTTTGGGTCCGGTCGTGGGGCCTGAACTCTGGGCCTGGGCACTGTCCCTTATCTCTTTAGCTCAAGGCTAGTGCTCTACCACTTGAGCCACAATGCCACTTCCGGCTTTTTTCTTTTTGCTTATGTGATGCAGAGGAATCGAACCCAGGGCCTCATACATGCAAGGCAAGCGCTCTACCACTGAGCCACCTTCCCAGGCCCTGATCTTTTCATTTTTAAGTCACATATTAATGAAGAATGTAGAACTCCTTTTCAAAACCCTATAGGAATGGGGCAGATTGGTGATTTGGACTGAAGATCAACCAGAGTTCCCTAGCTAGACTTAGCATGTTTGTACAAGGCAAAGTCCAGAGCCCATCAATAATCTCACCTTTCCATCCTGTTCTACAAGTTTCAGGTCTGGATTGGAGGCCCGAAGAGCACTGGCTTTGCTGCCATCCCCCTGTGACTGGGCCATGCTCCTTTAACATAGCCACAGGCTACTAACTGTGCACACCACAGATTCCTCATCCATGAATACTAGCACAGTAGGGTCTGCCTCAGGCAGTCCTGGTGGGGACTAACCATTAATAGATGTGGCCACATATTGGGCTATTGGTGTCTGTGCTGCTGCTAAGGTTTTTGTTATAGTTGTTTGTTTGTTTACTTTTTTTTTTTTTGTTGGTCATGAGGCTGAACTTAGGGCTTAAGTGCTATCCCGGATCTCTTTTGTTCAAGGCTAATGCTCTACCACTTTGAGCCATAGCACCACTTCTAGTTTTCTGATGGTTAATTGGAGATAAGAGTCTCATGGACTTTCCTGCCTGTGCTGGCTTTCAACTGGGATTCTCAGCTCTCAGTCTCCTGAATAACTAGGGTGCTGAGTAGCTGGGGTGACAGGCATGAGCCACCAAGACCCAATGCTGCTACGTTTTGTGGCTTATGAAGCTTCTGAAAGGCCTCAGTGAGGACCCTGTCCTATCAACAAGGATGTCATCTCTGTGCCTGGAATTAGAGGTGTTAGAACTGATAGATTTCTACTACAAGTCCCCAAAGAGTCCTTAAGTGTCCCTCTTGAAGAGAGGGATGGATTGGTTTTTGTCTGGTTACAAAACTAAGTTTTGATTAAAGGTCTCAGATTTTATGAAAAGAATCTGAGAACTACCATGTCTCACAGGAACGGAAACCTTGTCTGTGTCCAGAGATGCTCTTACTTGTGACTTCTGGTATCAATCTCTGCACATGTTGCAGACCTGGCCGTCTCGTGTCTGGTGCCTTTTTCTAGTGCTGGGATTGAAACTGATATTGCCAGACTCAGACCATGCCTGTCCTTCCCTCCCAGTGTACCCTCTTAAAGAGAAGGCACTTGAGGAACAGCTATAGTGATCTTATCTGTTCTTCCTGGACTTAAAAGCCAGGAAGGGTCAACTATGGAGTTCAGTGCTGGCAGAAATGGCAATATACCCTCCTAACTCATGGTCTTGCAGAAAGAAAAATCAGTATGTGTGGCAATGAAGAAAATATCCTCTTGTGGAATTTCAGTGGAATAGTAGCAGCAAGGTGGCTGATTTGTGACTGTATAATTGAAGAGACAAAGCTTTATGTTAGAGAATAGTTGTAGGGAGGAGAGAGAGCTAAAAATGATATTATAAAAGACACATCCAAATTCAAGGAATTTCTAGTTTTCTGTGGTATCTCAGTGAGCAATATGCCACCAGTCTGCTTGCCAGGAACAAAACAATCACTCGGGCAGTCGGGACCAGTAACTCTAGCATCTGATCTGATATGTATTAGTTCTCAGATGTTCCATTCTAAGGGATTTTGTTCTTTGTATGCCAAATGCTGGCTTTCTGAGTGAAAATCTTCCATTAATAGTTACAGAGAGAGGGAAACAGAACAGCAAGGAATATGTGGATCCGTTCAGATATGCAAGGCTTTTTAGGGTCTGTCTCTTAAAGCTTTCCAAAAGCAGGTGCCCTGTTAAGCTACCCTAGAGAGTGAGAGCTTTAGCACTGAAGACAGGAGCTGCTATGTGAAGCGACAGATTTATGTGTCATGGTAAGACAGTTACTGAGCAATGGGGATGAGGCAGAACCTCATCTGTTTGGGTTATGGCTTATGGCTCCCCTTGTCTCTGGGGACAGGCAGCCAGGCACCTTTCTTATCTCTTGGCCATCATAATCTAGCTGCCCGCATGGTTGAGGCCCTCTTTTTTTCTTAAGCATGTACTTCCCCAGGGCAGGGGTTCCTCAGAGTGTCTTCAACTCTTGATTCTATGTAGTAAGAGCTCAATAAGTGTTTGTGGAGTGAGCAGTCATTTCTGCTACAATGGCCCCTGAGCAGTGGTGCTGGTGGTGGTAGCTGTCCTTGCCCCTCACTCCTCTTTGAAGCTGAGGTAGAAAGACAAGCTGCCTGGGCTCCTGCCACTCCTAGCAGTTGGACTTGACTATATCCCTTGGGAGGAATGTCTTGGTGATAGGCCCGAGCCAGCAGTTTACTATGACCTGTGTGTGTGTGTGTGTGTGTGTGTGTGTGTGTGTGTGTGTGTGTGTGTGTGTGTGTGTGTGTGTGTGTGTGTGTGTGTGTGTGTGTGTTGGTGTTGCATGCACGCATATGTGCACTGGTCCTGAGACTTGAACTAGGCATTATCCCTGGTGACCTTCTTTATTGCTCAAGACTAGCACTCTACCACTTGAGCCACTGCTCCACTCCCAGTTTTCTGTTGGTTAACTGGAGATAAGAATCTCAAGGACTTTACTGTCTGGGCTGGCTTTGAACCTCCATTCTGAGTAGCTAGGATTACAGCCACACCAGCAGCTGGCTGTTCATACATTCTTGATCCTAAAATAACGAAACATTCCATTTTGGAAGAAGTGAAATTCTGTTATCTTCAGTCTGATGCTTTTTTTTTTTTTCCAGGGAGGGTACTGGGACTAGAGTTTCAACTCAGGGTGCTTTACCACTTGACCCAGACCCCCAGCCCCTAATATGACAGTTTTCATAGGCAATGCATACTGTTCATACTTATTGGAAACCTAACTAGGATTTCCAAAAAACATGATTACATTTGTATATGTGTAGTAGCCTGGTAGGTTGAGTCTGTTACAGTAGCCAGATCATTTAAACCTGTAATTCTCAGGTTGGAAAAAGCTGGAGATAGTGCATAACAAGAAATAGCTTCTTTATTGATGTTCTTTATATGTTACGGAGTGTAAATTAATATCCAGCCCCTAATCCCCTTTCTACTGGAAGTGATCAATGAGTAAATGCAGTTACTGAAGCAGATGTGCCTTTTATTTCCAGTAACAGTATTTTGAAAACAAGCTAGTGAATGCTTTTGAGCTGCTTAATGTAAGCAGGGAATAAAGCAGTTTCATAAATGTTCTGCAAAGCGGTCACAGTTGACCTGCACATCCCTCAATTAGTCGTTGGTCCTTCATAGGAAATAATCACGTTCATGTACAACAAAGAGCATTTGTTAAAAACCAGATAGAAATTATTCTGCCTTCTTTGGGGGGTTTCACCATTAGTGCTTTTTGGGGTTAAGCTGTGCTTTTATCTGAGGGGGTAGCCTGTAGGGAAGGGATTATTTACTGTAATCTATTGAAAAAGGCTGCTGTGTATAAATAATGTTTCCTGCTTCCTTTTAGATGTTGTCATTTGTCTTATGCAGATCTATAGTTTATAAACATTCAAATAAACATACTTGAAGGTTTACATTTGGAGCTCCCCCCAAGCTCTAGGTCTAAAAAAACACAGCATACCCTGTCTTAGTCTGCTCACAGGTGTCTTCTGTAGTGAAGGTCCCAGGATGACCCTGTTTGCATTTTCGGCCTTAATCAGTGTTATCCAGTAAAATTCCAACAAACTAAAAGCCTTTTAGACTTGAGCTTAACAGTGTCTGTCTTTTTCTTCAGCTGTACTACTGGGGTTTGAGCTTAGGGGCCTACTCAAAAGAGCAATGTCTCTAGCTCTTTTATTTTTACTTTTAGGTTTTTCAGATTAAGATCTCACTTTTTGCTGGAACTGGCCTCATAGGTGCATGCTGCCATGCTGGTTTATTGGTTAAAATACATTTTTGCCCAGTCTGGCAGTCCTAGTCTGTTCCTTATGAATTGCTAAAATTCTAGGCGTGAGCCTTTTGTCGGACATGGGGCCTGAACTCTGGGCCTGGACGCTGTTCCTCAGCTCTTCAGCTCAAGGGTAGCGTTCTATCACTTGAGCCATAGTACCACTTCCAGCCTTTTCTGCTTATGTGATGCTGAGGAATTGAACCCAGGGCCTCATGAATGCAAGGCAAGCACCTGCCCAGCCCAGAAATAGATTTTTTTTTTTGGTTGCTCTACAGCTTGAGCCACACTTTTAGCCCTTTTTGTTCTGGTCACTTTTGAGATAAGCTCTTCCTTTTTGCCAGGACTAGCCTGGACTATTATTCACCTGTTACCTCTTCCCATGGTAGCTGGGGTGACAGGTGCATGTCACCATGCTCATTCTTTTCTGTTGAGATAGAGACACCAACTTTTTTTTTTTCCTGGGCTGGTCTAGAACCATAATCTCAGTCCCCCATGTATATGGGGTGACAAGAAAACTCCAGCACACCCAGCTACTGGTTGACATTGTCTCGTGAATTTTTGCTTGGGATAGCTTCAAACAAACCACAATCCCTCCAATCTCCACCTTCCTACTAGTTAGTATTACAGAAGTGAGCCACTGGCGCATGACTTGAGCATGTGTTTTTGTACTAAGTGTGAGGAGAAACCAGAATGTGGGGCCTTTCCAGTGCAGTCGTGTATGCTTAGTTTACTGACCGTTGTATGAACTGCAGTGCTGGTCACCTGCCACACGTGGGCTATTTCGGTCCTTCTGCACATGGATATTAGAGCACTCCTTCCTACTGCCCTTCTCCCCTGTTTGTAATACAAGCCCTATGCAGACTTGGAGCATGATACCCACTTAGATCATTTAAAATACAAGTTTTAAATACTGTTATTTATAGGCTTGTTTTTTTAGGGGGGAAAACTTTTTTTTTTTCCACTGTTTCTCCAGGACTCTGGATCAATTTGGAAATGTCCTACAATGGGTCCTTTCTGATGACTCTCGAGACCAAAATGAATTTGACCAAACTAGGTAAAGAGCCTCTTGTTGAAGCCCTGAAGGTTGGAGAAATTGGCAAAGAAGGGTAAGGGGCAATATATAAATTTACTAACTCAATCCTGGGAAACTAGCCTCTCCCCTAAGTCTTTGAGAAACAGGTCTGAGGTGTGAGTCCTTAGCTGGCAAGCAAGCTCCAGTGTAAGAGCTGCAGACCACACAACTGTGAGTCTCCCTCTGTCCTTTGCTCAGCTGTGATAGCACACAGTACCTTTTGACATTGGCACTGTCAGGGACATAACTGTCTCAGTTACCCAGAAAGCATCACAATTAAGACAAGCAGGACAGATTCATCTGAACATTACCTGCTCTGCCAATCGAATCACTACTCTGAAACTATTACTTCACCTTTAGCCACAACAGTGCTATGTGGAGCAGGTTCAGGTCTTTGGGAATCTGCTGCTTTAATCACCAAGCCAGAATTATTTATAATGAGATAGCTGGGGTTGTAGCCCAGAGATGCTCCACAAGTGTTCTGAGAAGCACCACCTGAAATGATACCATATTGATTTGCTTAGTAAAGTCTTCTCTTTGTAGATAATGCATCTGCTGCCCAGAATCGTCTGATTTAGAAATACTCCAAAATTGTGAGATTAATTAATGGAGCTTGATTTTTTCTTTCCTTTATTGCTTAGAAGGATAAGTAAAACTTTTATATTCCCACCTAGCTTAAAAGTGAGTGCTCCAACTGCACATTTATATGAGTGTTGTTTTATTAACTTTTTCTCAGATCTGTGCCCCTTGGATAGAACCAATAATGTCAGGGAAACGCATTCCTCCATAGAGTCTTAAATACAAGACACAGGCTCTTGGATTTTTGCTTAGTTATAGACTCCTTTGCTCTTATTGGTGCTGGTGATCACTGCAGCCTGGGGGAGCTGGGTAATACCTTTAAGGACATTCTTTTCCTTTCATTATCCTGATTTATCCCATTTATTTAATGACATGTTCCTGTTTTAATAATTGGAAAAATATTACCTGCTGGATGAAATCTAACCTCTATCTGCTATTTTCCTTTTATTTTCTGCTATTTGTTAAAATGTATTTGGATTCGGCAATCTATGGATTTTTATTTTCTGGTGAGTGGTATTTATCAAATCTACATGTAGCATTTCATACCCTGTGAGTGCTTCATCTAATTTGATTCCAAATGATGCTATGAGGAAGTCTTTCTTCTTGTTCCCAGGCATGAAATCAAAGTCCATGACCCAAGAGCACTGAAACCAGAGTAGAGAAACAGGCTTTTCTGGCAGGAAAAGTCTCCTTGACTTCCCTGGTTAGAATTGCTGGGGTCTTGATCTAGCCCTGTAGTCTGACCCCCACACCACTCACCCACACAGCTGAGAAGCAGGTCAGAGTTGGAGAACCAGCTGTCTAAGACATGAAACAAGCTTAAAAACGAAGTCTACTGGGCTGGAGTTACAGCTTAATGGCTAAGCAGTTTGCCTAGCAGGTGCAGACCCTGGGTTTGCTCTTCAGCACTGAAATTTAATAATAAGTTTAAAATGAGTTCTAGCAAATAAGGAATGTGACAGAGCAGTCTGTGGTCACAAACATTTATACATTTCAGCCCTTTCTGGAAACAGCCCTTGTGCCAACACAGTGGTGTGAGGTGAAGAGAAGTCTTGAGCAATTGATTGGAACAAGTCCAAGTCCCTTTGCCACTCGAGTGTTCCATATTCCCTACATTATTCATCTGGCAGTCTTGACACAATTTTATCTGGCTGTTTAGGGGATGATGGTATATTCCTGAACAAAGAAGGAATGCTTCTAGAATGACTAAAAACATTCTCTACTTTAGGAATGTGTTGGTATCATATTTAATACATTTCTGAAGTGATTATTTGGAAGAATGATGTAAAATGTTTTGTTTCTTCCTGTGAGGTTAATTACATTTTGATAGATATTTGACTTTCATTTAATTTTAGGAGCAAGAATACAATTAAAAAGAAAAATAGGGCTGGGAAGGTGGCTCAGTGGTAGAGCGCTTGCCTTGCATGCATGAGGCCCTGGGTTCGATTCCTCAGCACCACATAAGAAAAAAGCCGGAAGTGACGCTGTGGCTCAAGTGGTAGAGCGCTAGCCTTGAGCTGAAGAGCTGAGGGACAGCGCCCAGGCCCAGAGTTCAGGCCCCACGACCGGACCCCCCCCCCCCCAAAAAAAGAAAAATAATGTTTTTGGCAGAGAGAAAAAGGACTGGAAAGATAGACCCTTAGTACTGTTTTGCACAAAGGACCTTGAGAATCCAAGAGCTCTGGAACTTTACAGAAAATACCTCCCCATGCATCAGTTGGCTCATAGCTCCTAAGCCCAGAAGTGATTCTAGAATCTACTTCTTCAGTCATGAGCATATGGAACCACCTGGAGGCTGAGTAGCTAAGGAAAGAAAAGACATGAGTTTGCATAGTAACTATTATCAAGCATGGACATCTTCCTTCATAAGAAACCTGAGGGGCAGCTTCATACAGCCGTTTTCTCCAGGCTCTGCCTTCAGCCCATGGCTGCCTGTCCAGGCCTTATGTCTTGTCTCACTGCTTTTTTTCAGTTCCTATTCAAATGTGTGAATGATTATGTTCTTGGGGAGTCTGCAGAGTACTGCTTAGCCCATAAAAAGTTCCTTTTTCTAGTGGGAACTTTGTTTATGGCACCCCAAGGGTAAAATGGAAATTGAAATCTGTGCTGCCTTATGCCATTGGGTCACTTTCCTCTGACATGCACAGCTTTGATGTATTTGTGGGCACTTTCCTCCAGCTCTTTTCTTTCCACATACTCTTCTTGTCACATACTAGATAGAGTTCAGTCACTTGGGGGCAGTAAGTTACTCAAAATGAAGTCTAGGGGCTGAGGATGTTGGTTAGTGGTAGATGATGCAAATGTGTGAGACCCTGGCTTCCATCCCCAGCATGGCAAAAAAATGGGAAAAGTGAGGGAGGGAGTGATGCTGTCTGAACTTTAGGATAGGACCTGAAAGAGGACCTAAATGAGTCAGAAAGAGAAATGGTCTACATGTTGGGGTGTTTAAGTGAAGGGAGACCTAAGAGTGAGGTACCCCTGCCAGGTGTTCTTGTGTCCTCTGGCTTCCGGCTTCCGTATTGGGTCACTAGTTCATTATGTCATCTCTTCCATCCCCAGGTCCCTGATGTTCTTGGCACTGAGCTCATTTGTGTGTGTACACGTATGTGTGTGTGACAGATGGATGAGACTGATTGCTCTTAAAGAAAGAGAAATTAGTATATTCTTATGAGTGTAGGCCCCTCACAGGGCTAGTTATGCATACACTCTTCATTTAAAAGCTTTTTTTTTTTTGGAGCTGCTTTTTAGAATTAGATCCAGAGTCTGTGACCTTTTTTAATCATCCTGAGTAACAGCAAATCATTCCTGCTTTGTGAATGGTTTTGAAATTGCTAAGAAGTTGTCAGAGGTGTTGGTGATTATGAGACCAAGAAGTAAGATAGTATCAGCAACAAAAATACTTTTTGTGGGTGTCTGACTCCAGATGCATTTCCAAAAAGATTTTTAGGAGAGGCAATACAGCTGGAATGAGCCTGTTCAAATGGTTTGCTGAGAAGTTAACACTCTGAGGTGTATTTAAAACTGTCAGGCACACCTCTGAGGGTGTATGATGTCTTTCTCTGAAGTTCCTGCTGACAGGAACCTCAAGGTCAAGATCAGGAAATGCATATCAGTTTAAAGACTGAATTATCAGCCAAACACTTAGCCATACTATCAGTATTGGGTGCTGCAGAACATAGCTCCCAACACAGACCGCAGAGGTAGCACTTGGTCAAAATCAGAATTTCATGTCACTTGATATCCTTTAACTGATACAGCAGTATCTGAATTATTTACATGAAGCTGCAAATTCCTCCTTCTCAGACCTGCAGAGGATTAATTTGGGAACGCGAGAGCTCACTGCAGCCCTCAGCCCTTGGCATCTTCTGCCCAGGGTGTGACGCCACCACACTGGTGGGGATGTGAGGTGGTAGCTCAGCAGATCTCTCTGTGATCCCAGATCTTGCAAGCAGCCCTTTGTACTTTGTGGATGAGGACCAGGCCTTGTGTTGTTGGGAGTTTCCATGCTTGGCAGTACAAGGTGTGAGCCAGAAAGCAGAGCCATTTTACTGATGGAGAAGTAGGGCAGTTGTATAATCCTTGGCAGTTTATGTCTCTGTAAATTTCTTTCCTCATCCTGAGATCCAATACAGGCTTTCTTGGGAATGACATTTTGCGATGTGTATTTGAAACCCAAGAGTCCTATGAGGGCAGCCTAACCATGGAACTCCTGAGATGGTTCTGTGAGTATAAACAGTTTCACAGAAGCAGTACTTCCCGAACTGGCCAGACCAGACCTATTCCAGAAGCAGGAGACCTTTAGGTGCTGTCAGGGACTAGAGACTTCTGTTCTGCTTCCTTTTAACATGAAAGTCTAGTTTGCCTGAAAAGTGCTGGCTCTAACCTTTCAGAGCCAGAGTTGAGCAGGATCTGCATGTCCTGCCAGGGAGGACAACACTGTGGGATCCTCTTACACCTTGGCTCCTGTTTCAGACCTAAGGCTTCAGTTCTACCCTCCTGCCTTGTTGGAGTACTGCTGGATGGACCTTTAGGCCTTATTAGTATGTGTGTTCTGCCCTTGGCCCCCATTGGCCAGGAGATAATGTCCAAGTGGACTTTGGTGGTCAAAGGATGCCTTAGAGTAAAACTAAAGGATTGAAGCTGCAGGGAAACTCAAGTTCCACAACCTCCCTTGGCTGTGTACTTTTGTCCTGGTCTATAGTAGAAGGTCCAGCCTCTGCTTACAGACCATTTGGCTGCTTAGTAGCCTTCAGAGACTAGTGTCCTTTGTTCATTTCATCCCTAGTTAAGTCTCCTCTGAGGCAAAGCCCTGCCAGAATTCTCAGAAGCAAAGCCCTAGTCCAGGGAAGGAATTGCCTTTGATGTGACTGAAGCTCAGTCAGGAATCCTCAGGCCCCTATGAGGGGAGCATTGATCTTCACCTCCACTGATGATCAAGAAGCCCTGCCTCTAGAAACTGACTCTCCACCCTGCAGAATGGCACTCTTCAATGAGGTGTCTGTTTTTAATGAAAAAGATGAGCCTTTAAATTTGTATTTTTCCAGAAAAGGCTCTTGGTTCTCATATCAGTCACTTCTTGAGTGTTCTATGACTTGTCCCTAGTGATTGTTGGCTTTCTTTGTGACCCTCAAAATAGGGCATGCTGGACACTGGTGGCTCACTCCTATAATCCTACTTAGAAGGCTGAGATCTGAGGATCACACTTTGAAGCCAACCTAGGAAAGAAAGTCTGGGAGACTTATATCCAATTTTTTTGGTTAAAAAAAAGCTAGAAGTGGAGGAGGGGATAACAGTACTTGACAAGAAATGTACTCATTACCTTACTCATGTAACTGTAACCCCTCTGTACAGCATCTTTTTTTTTGGGGGGGGGGGGGGTCCGGTCATGGGGCCTGAACTCTGGGCCTGGGCACTGTCCCTCAGCTCTTCAGCTCAAGGCTAGCGCTCTACCACTTGAGCCACAGCACCACTTCTGGCTTTTTTCTTTTTGCTTATGTGGTGCTGAGGAATCGAACCCAGGGCCTCAGGCATGCAAGGCAGGCGCTCTACCACTGAACCACCTTCCCAGCCCCTGTACAGCATCTTTATAATAATTTTTTTTAAAGCTGGAAGTGGGGTTGTGGCTCAAGTGGTAGAGCAGTATCCTTAAGCAGAAAATCCAAGTGAGAGTTCAAGGCCTTGAGTTCAAACTACACTACTGACATGCATGCTCGCGCGCACACACACAAACACACACACACACAGGGCATAAGACAGGTAAGGATTCAAATAAGTAATCTCACTAGGATGGAGTCTAAAATGATAACCAAGGTAGGATACAGTTGTTGACTCTGCCAGAAGCAAGGGACCTCACTATTCACCTTCATGAGAAGTGGTCGTGTCACCAACATAAGCTTCCACTGCACCTCTGCTGCCATCTATTCTTTCCATTCATCCTCCCACTTGGCTCCCGCTGATTCCCAACGCACTGCATTTTATGTGACTTCATCACACTTTACTGTCCTTGTGATGATGCATGCTCAAAGCAAACTCTTCCTGCCCAAGACCTCTGCAGTCTGTAGGGGATTTGGCACTGGAAGCTTCTGAGTGAGCAGGCCAGTCCAAGGGCTCTTGGATTGGCTCCTTTCTGGAGGGTTGGAGACAGTGGCAACATGTAGCAGAGGTTCCTGTTGACTCTTTTGGTTAAGTGTGTGCATGCATGTGCCCTCTCTTGGGCGTATGTGTGTAGTCTGACAATGGCAGACTGCATGGTGATTCTGTCCTGGTTCAGTTGCAGGCCCAGGGCCTACTGTCTGGCCGACAGCGATGAGGAATCTTCCAGTGCTGGCTCCTCTGATGAAGACGATGCCCCAGAGCCCAGTGCTGGAGATAAACAGCTGATCCCAGGAGCTGAAGGGTGAGTAAACCTGGGCTTCTGGAGGCTCCAGAGTCAGCAGACTGGGAGCGAGCCCTTTCCCCTCTCTCTCTCTTCTTCTTCACACTTTACTAGCTAGTGTCAGTCAGTGGCTTGTTTAAATTCTAAGCCCTAAGAAAAAAATACTCAGACAACATTTTGTCCTTAAGAGGATCCTAATTCCACGACTTTGTACTGCAGAGCATGTTTGTGGTTCTGAGCAGGCACACTACTCCCCCCTAGTGGCCAGCAGAGCGGTGCTCCCCTGAAGCTCAATGCACTTGCTTGCTGCCCTTGAGCTTCTGGTTCCCGCAGAGCTAGAACATTCACCTGATTGTATTTATGTGTTTGCTTGCTTATTTATTTATTTAGAAACTATGGATGGTTAGCTGATTTTTTTTCCTTTGGGGTGCTGGTCCTAGGGCTTGAACTCAGAGAGCCTGGTTGCTGTCCCTGAGCTTTTTTTTTTTTTAACTCAAGGCAAACACTCTCCCACTTGAGCCACAGCTGCATTTCTGAGTTTTTGTTGGTGGTGGTGTTGTTGGAGCTAGGTGCTTTCCTGCCCAAGCTGACTTCAAATTGTGATCCTCCAATCTCAGCCTCTTGAATAGCTAGAATAACAGGTGTGAGCCACCAGTGCCTGGTGGTTAATTGGAGATAAGACTTTCCTGCCCGGGCTGGCTTTGAACCATGATCTTCAGATCTCAGCCTCCTGGGTAGCTAGGATTACAGGCATGAGCCTCTGGCACCCGGCTTGCACTCAGTATTTGAGTGGCCTAGGGAGATACCTTCTCTAGAGTAGTAGTTTTCAACCCCGTGTGACTTGTTTCTTACAGGGGCCATTTGACATGTCTGGAGACAGTCATGACTAGGGAGAATGCTCAGAGGCCAGGGAGACTGCTACCCATCCCACAGTGCACAGGACGGCCCTTGGCACAGAGTTAGCCATTCATGCCACCACCGAGAAACTGTTATAAAGGAAGCTTAATATATAGCCACATAGTTTTTGTGAGTGACAGTGCAAAGTTAATACCAATACTCTTTGGTGTTCCTTGTTTGAAGGTATGTTGGAGGTCATCGGACAAGTAAGATTATGAGGTTTGTTGATAAAATTACCAAGTCAAAATATTTCCAAAAAGCAACGGAGACAGAGTTCATTAAAAAGAAGATTGAAGAAGTCTCCAATACACCTTTGCTGCTAACTGTTGAAGTACAAGAATGTCGAGGAACCTTGGCGGTCAACATTCCACCCCCCCCAACTGACCGAATCTGGTGCGTAGAGGGGCCCTCAGATACAGCAAGGGCATAACTTTGTTGCGTAACTGTGAAACCCCTAGCAGGCTCAACCTTGGATAAAAGTTCTTGCATAACTTTGGACCTGAGCACTTGTGTTAGTAACCCTGGACATGACTGCTTGTGTCCATGGTGTTTCATGTGACCTTGATGGTAGGTGTTAGATCATCAGACCCACTTTTCTCTGTGAATGGTTCATGCACATTTAAGGATTCATTTTCATACATCAGGAAGAGTTAAAGGGAATTTCTTTATTTTCTTTTTTTTTTTTTGTCTGGTCATCGGGCCTGAACTCTGGGCCTGGGCACTGTCCCTCAGCTCTTTAGCTCAAGGCTAGCGCTCTACCACTTGAGCCACAGCGCCACTTCCGGCTTTTTTCTTTTTGCGTATGTGGTGCTGAGGAATCGAACCCAGGGCCTCAGGCATGCAAGGCAAGCGCTCTACCACTGAGCCACCTTCCCAGCCCCTTAAAGGGAATTTATGAGATGTATGGGATGCGTTGTTGTCTTCTTGGTCTTCTCTCTAAAGCCAGTTTCCACCAGTAGTAATAGCTGCCATTTGTAGGAATCCTTTATTCTCTACCTGTGCCACCGGGTTAATCCTTCTAGCATCCTCTGAGGTAAGTGCCCTGTCGTTCCTAACTGACAGATGGGGATCACGCATTCAACAGAGCCCAGGCAGTTAGGAAGATCTCAGAGGGAGATGGTGGTATTGAGGAGGCTGGAGCATGTGCACTTGGTATTTGCAGGTGGGAGGTCTGTCTGAGGAGTTGATTCTCAGCTCCAGCCACATGTGACAACCATAGTTACAAGGCTTACAAGTATGCCTGTCCATTGCCAGGTTTCAGAAGCTGGTGGGAAAGTACAGTGATTAAGCCAGGTTCTAAAATCAGGGAAATAAATTATTCATGGATCCAGCATTTCTCTGAATCTCAATTTAAAACCAGCATTCCAAGTTCTATAAAATGGGCATAAGTGTATGAGGTCACATAAGAGGCTTCACTGTATCATCACTGACATGCATGTGAAAACCCAGTTCTGTGATACATCATTGTGGAAACCATGTCCTTTGTCCAGGAGGCTTTGATGAGTGATCAGAAGAGGGTTTTCAATTGACTGACCAGAGATGGTGCTAGCATTCCTCAGTAAAAACATCTTTGTAGTCTCATTTTTAAAAGTAATACTTTCATGGTTAAAATAAAAAGTGAAAGATTGGATATTCATGAAAATAGCTCTGGGGCTGGCTCAGTGGTAGAGCGCTTGCCTTGCATGCCTGAGGCCCTGGGTTCGATTCCTCAGTATTACATAAGAAAAAAAAAAAAAAGCCGGAAGTGGCACTATGGCTCAAGAGGTAGATCGCTAGCCTTGAGCTGAAGAGCTGAGGGACAGCGCCCAGGCCCAGATTTCAGGCCCCACGACCGGATCCAAAAAAAAAAAAGAATGAAAATAGACAAAAAAATTTAAAAGTTCTATAGTCCAGAAATTAGTGTTATTACTTTACAGTCCTCCAAACCTTAAAAAAAAAAAAAGTTGTTCTAAAATTGAGTTGATAGATTTCTTCTCCTTACTGCCAGTCTTTTAGATTTTGCACTTACAAATGCCTCTGTTGAGTAAACCAGGTCCATCCTGGTGGTTCACGCCTATAAACCTAGCTACTCAGGAGGCCAGGCTAGGCAGGAAAGTCTGAGAGACTCATCTCCAGTTAACCAGCAGAAAGCTAGAAGTGGCTCAAGTGGCAGAGTGCCAACCTTGAATAAAAAAGGCTACAGGACAGCTCCCAGGAAGAGTTCAAGCCCTGATACTAGCGCACACACGCGTGTGCACACACACACACACACACTCTGCTCTAGGAAGCACAATAGATATAAAACCGCTAAAAGGAAGAGTGTGTGTGCCAATGCCTTCTTTTTCTTTCTTTGCTTCACAATATGATTATTGTTTCCTTCAAAAAGGTATGGTTTCCGGAAACCACCATATATAGAGCTGAAAGCTCGGCCAAAACTTGGAGAGAGAGAAGTTACTTTAGTTCATGTGACAGACTGGATAGAGAAGAGGCTGGAGCAAGAGTTTCAGGTAATCTTGTAGTGTTTACCTGTGGGTTACAGCAAGAAAAGAAGCTCTGACTGGACAAAGGCCCTGAACTTCACCTGGGTCAAATAAAAGGCATAGACCTTCAAACCGGGAAAGAATACATGTAATCAAACATTGGCATACAATCTTAGGTGCAGTAATATATGCCTTAAAATATCCACAGAGCATTATTAAGTAGTTTTCAGAGGGATTGCAGGCATATACCTTTCATTCCCAGATTGCTTGTTCCTTCTATATCCCTAGATTCTGTTTTAGAATTTGTGGGGGTTATACCTCTTTTAGTGATCTTGGGCTATACAGAGCAGAAGGGAAAAAGGGGCAGGGGCCAGTTGGGAAGTTGAAAGATAACCACTACACACACACATTTGCATATGGCACCCCACTTACTTTGAGTGAGCATTGCTGAAATTGAATGCACTGCCAAAATTTACATGGAAAGTAATGTATAAATGGATAAGCAAAGTACCACTAATGTCATTCACTGATACCCTTTAAGATTAATACCTTTTTGGTATTTACCAAAGTCAGAGGGTCTATCATATGTTTCTTTGCATGGTTTTGATATAAAAAAAAATTAGCTTGCATTTTCTTGCTAAGATTTAAAGGGATAAATTCACTGATGCATTCTAGACTTAATTTGAAAATACTGTTGGTGATTAACCCAATTCTCCTAAATTAGTGTTATTTATTGCTTCATGAGTAATTTTATAAATTAAACTATTTGGGAGAACTAGTTTGGAATGTGCAGGAAGGACGATACAGCCTGCTGGGCTTTCTTCCACATGACCATTCTTTAATATCTCTTTGCAGAAAGTTTTTGTCATGCCAAACATGGATGATGTTTATATCCCTATAATGCACTCAGCCATGGACCCTCGTTCCACTTCTTGCCTCCTGAAAGACCCTTCACTGGAGGCTACTGACCAGCTATGATGGGTGACAATAGATGTTCAGTATTAGGAGACCTAACTTGAGGTGTGGAGTTCATGGCTGCCATCTGTGCTATGGCACTGGCCTTTATTTGTGCCACAGCCACTGTCTCTTAAAGGATTGCTTCTGCCCTGCCTGTTGGTGCCCATTCCACTGTGAAGTGTCATTCCCTGCATCCAATGACGAGTGTCTGGATTGCCTGCTGCAAAGCTTTGATTGGCAAAGGAGACTGAAAGAATCTTGGTGGAGCCAGAAGTTACAGGTGACTCACACTGCAGCTTTTAAAAGTCTACCACTTTTTAATGGCAGTTACATGAGCACATTCAGAGCAAAGCTGTGCGACTGGAAGGCTTCCCCTGCCTCCTAGACTCCTCTAAAGCTTTTCCTCAGGCAGCTGGTGCACAATGAAACATTTTTTCACTCTACATTTTGTGATAGCAGCCCTCCACATTCAGAATGTCAGTGTGTTAATGTGAGGAGTGGAATTTTGTGAACCCTTTCATTGGTGGTAAAGAGATAGGCATACTAACTTTTTTCACATTAAATTGTGCATTTTGGAAGCAAGTAGCCATAGAACACACACACACAATTTCAGCTGGGGTGGGGTCAGTGGGATTTATGTGAACATTAGGCAAAGCTATGAGATGAAAGCATCTGAAGCCTTTTACCAACGAGGTTACAATCACCTTGCTTCTAATTAATCCTGATTGTTGTTTTAAAACAGCACAGGTGACATTCATATGTGACACTTCACACAATGACCGATTGTTTCTCCCCAGTACAGAATGGGGTGGGGTCAAACCAGAGCCAAGGTCTTTCTGCCATCACTGTGTACCAGAAAGCTTCATGTGGGAATCTGAAAGCTTTGTTAATCTAATTGGTTCAGAATTGGGTTTTGTAGGCAGTTTTTGTTCGTTGATGGCCAAAACAGAAAATTGCTCAATGTCAAACACTACACATCTCAAGATATTCATGTGACCTTTCTTTAATGTTGCCAACTTACTTTTGTGCATTTGTGTCAGATAATTTAGTTTACAAGTTTGAGGCCTCTAATAGTAATTACTTTGGGAAGCAAACATTTTATTTAAAACTGCAATGTCAAAATTACCTTGTGTAACTTTTGATAATTTACATTTGGGGACAAAGCTGATTGTGGGGTTTTTTAACAGCACCTTGCCTGAACATGACTTCAAAGAAATTAATATATTGAAAAAAATGTATCTGAACTCCTTAATTGCATCATTAAAACATTTGACTTAAATTATTTGACCATTCCAGTCAGTGTACCGTTCCACATTGTGTAACCCGACCTGCTGGTAAAGCTTGCATGTCTTGTCACTGGTCTTTAACTTTTGTGCAATAACTAAAGGTAAAGGACTAGATGCACTGTATAGAGATGACACGATTGTACCTTATTTCACTTAACCAAGTAGTATGTGGGGACTTACAATCGCTTGAATTGTTTCACAAAATAAATCTCATGTCAAACACCAGACAAGCATCTAAGTTATTTCCAGCAAATCCTGTTGTCAGTATAGAGTAGGGCTCATGGGCACTTCCTGGCAGTAACAGACCTCATTTACTCACTAGTCATTGTGGTTCAGTACAAGTCCTAACAGGGATTTAGAGGCAGTAGCCACTTTACAATGATGTCCAGTGATTCCTGCACCCTCCCCAGACTATTTTAGGTAAAGGTTATGGGGGAAGGATTTTTTTTTTTTTTGGTTGGCCATGGGGCTTGAGCCCTGGGCCTGGGCGCTGTTTCTCAGCTTTTCAACTCAAAGGACACGCTCTACTATTTGAGCCAGAGCACTATTTCCAGTCTTCTGGTGGCTCATTGTAGTGGAGTCTCAGACTTTCCTGCCCGGCCTGGCATTGAACTGCGATCCTCAGATCTCAGCCTCCTGAGTAGCTAAGATTATAGACGTGAGCCACCGGCACGCGGCTCGCAGAGGTCCTTTTTAAAGCTGCTGTCACTGGCGGCTCAAGGGCTCCTCCTCTACCACTTGAGTCATCACAGCTCCATTCACTGCACTTGACTTTCCTGCCCTGACTGAGCCTAGATCCTCGGCCGTCTGTTTAGCTAAGATTACAGGCCTCCCACTTCCATAAGGGTGGCAAGGTAGGCCTCAAGCTTAGAAGGTGGCTGCAACTTTCCTCCTGCAGCTCAGGCCCTTCCACAGTAATGCTGGCTGGGACGCCCTCGCTTGTCAACACTGACGTGCAGGAAACCCAAATAGCACCCCATCAACCGTAGGATGTAAGATTGTGTGGCCCCCCCCCCGGGTCGTTCCAGCCCACGTGGGGCCTTGTGGCATTGTCGCTCGCGGTTAAAAGGACGGCCCGCGAGCGGCGGGCGGCCCCAGTTATGCGCGAGCACGTGCTCTAGCGCCGCAGCTCGACCCCCGGCGCCACGCGCAGGCGCGACGGGGGCTCAAAGGCGGCGCGTCCTCGACCGCACACAGACACACGGACACCAGGGCGGGGGTCAAGCCACTTTATTGACGCTCGGAGGCAGGGAGGGGCTGAAAATGCAACGCAGAGCGCACACTGGCGTCCTCGACGGGGAGGGCCCTGCAAACACAAGAGCGACCGGTGAGCAAGCGCGCCGCCGGCCCGCCGGCCCTTCCCCTCCTCTGGGCCGCTGGCCGGCTCAGACTCCAGTTCGCATCACCAGTATCAGCAGTCTAACGCGTGCATGAAATGGAAAGTCATCATAGCCGAAAATTACCCCCACCACGCCCGAGGCCCACCAGCCAAACGACCCGGACACCAAACACGCCTCACCTTCCCGGATCCGTAGTCTCGAAAGGATGGAGCGGCTGTGAGGCTTGTTCTTAAAAGGAGCGGAGCGGAAGTCGTTGGGTGGCCTTTACTTTTACTAGCCAATAGCAAGTCAGTCTTCCTGCGACGTGCCCACAAATGTGTCTGATGATTGGCTGAGGATTTTCGGAGTCCTCCAGTGTATAGAGCGTCCACACTTTGACCATAGAGATGAGAGTTTTGGAGTGAGTTTGGCACCAACGTTCTCTTTAAACTTTTACGCGTTTCTTTTCTTTTTTCTTCTCTCTCTCCTCCCTCCTCTCCTCCCCTCCTCCCCCGCTTCTCCTCCCTCCTCCTCTCCCCGCCCCGCCCGTCGGTCGGGAGGCTTGACATCTGGGCCTGGGCTTGCTCCAGGACAGCGCTTTACCACTTTGAGCCTCCGCGCCACTTGTGGTTTTCCGGTGGTTTATTGGAGATAAGAATCTTGTGAACTTTTCTGCCCGGGTTGGCTTTGAACCGCGATCCTCAGATCTCAGCCTCCCGAGTAGCTAGGATGACAGACATGAGCCACTGGTGCCCAGCTCAAGTTTCTTTACACATCTCCATTAATCTGCAACTGGGGTGTCCCTCCGCAGCACACAAAAGAAAACTGCAAGCAGGAGACAAACAATGTTCCAGCTCTCAGGCTAGGAGCTGAGGCTGTGAAATGATTAGAAAAACGAAAACACCCGCCCCCCCCAAATATAAAAAAATGATGCCGGGCGCCGGTGGCTCACACCTGTCATCCTGGCCTCTCAGGAGGCTGAGATCTTAGGATCAAGGTTCAAAGTTAATCCAGGCAGGAAAGTCTATGAGGCGCTTATCTCCAATTAAGTACCCAAAAAAAGCCCCAATTACAGCTGTGGCTATTTTCTATATTTCAAAGTAGAGTGTCTTCTGATAATATGCTGACTTTCTGGTGACTTGATCACTTAATGTTTGTGGGCCTATATATCCGAAAATATACCCCTCCAACCCAAAACAAACACCAAAATTTTAGGTACAAGTGAATTAATACCAATTATCTGGTACATTCTTAGAAAATTGAAGTCAATACTTGAATAAATGCTACTTCAAATATTCTACTTTGGAAGCTCATGGGAGAGAAGAGCTAACTGTGTTTGTTTATTGCCTAGGGCTGCCTCATACCATGATTCTCCTACTTATGGTTTCCCTCCTATATAATCTGCATTATGGATGAAAGCCACTTGTTGGTCAAGATGAAGTCTCCTTAATTTTTTCCCAGAGCTGACCTTGAACCTTGACCTTCCCAATTTCTGCCTCCTGAGTAGCAAAAACTATACATATGTGTCAGTTTCTGGCTACAGGTTTTCTTTTCCATGTTGTGTCATGTCAGTATTACTTTAAGAAATATTTCCATTTTCCTTTATTGTTCTTTAATATCTGTAGGACCTATATCTGAAAGATTTAATATCTGTGGGATCTGTAAGATTTTGTGGGCTTTTCTCTTCCTTTATCAGTATACCTGGAAATTTATCTGTTCCTATTTTATTTATTTATTTAGAGACAGGATCTCAGTCTTTAGCCCAAACTGGCTTTGAACTCAGGACCACTTGAGCTCAACCTTCCAGGTGCCAGGATTACAGGTATATGCTATCATACCCAGAAAGATTTATCAATTTTAATTTTTTTTTGTCAGTCTGAAGAATCAAATCCAGGGCCTCATGCATGCAAGGCAAGCATTCTACCACTGAGCCACCTTCCCAACCTATCAATTTTCCTTCTAGTCACTCATCAGTGTGTCAGTTTTTGATTCATGTGTTTTCAAGCTGTTTGAGATGTTTGCATATTTAGGATTAATATGTTCATAGTTGGGATTATTTGCTCATAAATGGACTTTCTGTTGTTGGTTTTTGATGCCAACACCTCTAGTTCAGTATTTTGTTGGTTAATAAGTGATAGTCTGGATTTTTCTGCCTGGGCTGGCTTCAAACCTCAATCCTGAGATCTCAGCCTCCTGAGTAGCTAGGATTATAGATTTGAGCCACCAGTGCCCAGCCATAAATGGAGTCTTTTATTATTGTGAAATGTCTCTCTTTATCTCTGATAAAATGTTACATATATGTGTGTATAGGTATGTGTATATATATATTCACATATCTATTCAAATACATATATATAATAGTGTGTATATCTGCTTTTGTGTCTATGTGTTGTTATTGGGGCTTGAACTCAGCCTGGGCATTATTCCTTAGCTTTTTCACAGAAGCTAGTGCTCTACCACTTGAGCCACAACTCCATTTTCAGCTTTTTGGTGGTTAATTGGAGATAAGACTCTCACACACTTTCCTGCCCTGGCTAAGTTAGAACCAGGATCCTCAGATCTCAGTCTCCTGAGTAGCCAGGATCTGGCATCTGGCAAAATATTTCTTATATTAAATAATACCAGTTTTGGGGGCTGGGAAGGTGGCTCAGTGGTAGAGCGCTTGCCTTGCATGCATGAGGCCCTGGGTTCGATTCCTCAGCACCACATAAGCAAAAAGGAAAAAGCCGTAAGTAGTGCTGTGGCTCAAGTGGTAGAGTGCTAGCCTTAAGCTGAAGGGCTGAGGGACAATACCCAGGTCCAGAGTTCAGGCCCCACGACCGGACCAAAATAAATAAATAAATAAAAAATGATGTCAGTTTTTGTGATTTGAATACATAATTCAATGACTTTATTAACAAAGTTTTAAATCATCACCACAGTCAATTTTAGAATATTTTCACTAACCCCTGATGTTTTACAAGAGGAAGAATGTTTATGAGCTGCTCAAGAGAAGTTTCCAGAGAGTTCTGTGGAATTAGGCCAGACTCTAGGGGATGGAGAGGGACTGGGCAGTAAGGAAGTAGATGTACTTTGAAAGGATGGCCATTTCCACATTGGCACTTTCTTGGCCCTCTGAATTATTAAGATACACCAGTGACATTTTGTGCACTTTGCCATGGTTAGTATGTAGACTTGGCACAAAGGAGTGTGAAACACAAGTGAAAAAATAACCAGCTAGAATTAGCCTGAACTACCTCCTAGGGGAGGTAGGAGGGGAACCCGCCCTGCTAGTCTCAGCCAGATGGCTGGTGTGTGTTTGTATTGTTTTTGGCATAGCTCCAAGATGAGATCAGGAGACCTTACCTGTCATTTGAAGTCATGCCCCTTATCGCCACACATTTGTATAAGCTTTTGGTTGCTATTAGTACAGTTTGCTTTCCATATGTGCAGATTGTACATCAGCCAACTCAACCAACCATGGATCCGGAAATATTTGGATTTAAGAAATTGCAGCTGTTTCCCAAAATATATAGACTGTTTTTCTTGTGATTATTCCCAAACAATACATTGGAACACCTATTTCTCTAGTATTTCCATTGTATGAGTATTAGTAGAGGGGATATAGGCAAATGCCATGCCATTTTATATCACAGACGAGCTCAGGGGAGCCCTGAAGCCAATCTTCATAAATATGGAGGGACAGCTGTGTTCGGGAAATGCCATCGAGGATACCACCTAGCTACTGCGACAGACCACAAAGAAAGTGGTACATGGTTATAATACTGTGGGTGGGGGCAAAAGTAATCATCTGCCGGGTGCTGGTGGCTCACACTTGCAGTCCCACTCAGGGGACTGAGATCTGAGGATGGCAGTTTGAATCCATCCAGGATAGAAAAGTTTGTGAGATTCTTCTATCCAATGAACTACCTGAAAGGCCAGAAGTGAAGCTGTGGCTCAAGTGGTAGAGTGCCAGCCTTGAGGAAAAAACTAAGGGACATGTTCAAAAAGAAATGTACTCTTGAGCCGAGCATCGGTGGCTCATGCCAGTAATCCTAGCTACTTAGGAGGCTGAGATCTGAGGATTGCTCTTCAAAGCCAGCCTCGTCAGGAAAGTCTGTGAGACTCTTATCTCCAATAAACTACCAGAAAACTGGAAGTGGTGCTGTGGTTCAAGTGGTAGAGCACTAGCCTGGAGCTGAAGAGTTCAGGGACAGCAGCCAGGCCCAGAGTTCAAGCCCCATGACCCATAGTGAAGTCCATGGGTGTGATCACAGCAGTGGCAGGCATCATGCCAATGCTTCAGGTGATCCATACTATCATGAAGGATCTGGATGACCACATTTCATGCTACCTGGTCTCTTTGCCAACCAGACCAAGGAGCCCATCTGACCTGGAGAAACTAAAGAACAGACATGTCACATATGTCAAACTCGAGGACAGCCTGGGCTTAGTGAACAACGAGATGATCTAGGTCCACCTCTCCCCTAGTGCTCCGAGGAGTAACTGCTGGTGCTGATCAGTGGGTCCCCATGATCCAGTTCACCTGCCTGCTCAGCATGGAGAGCATGGTCATCTATCCTCATCTACCCTGTTCCCCTGCCCCAGCCATCCATCCTCCACACCAGAATCCTTGGAGCAGGATTGTGTTTCAGGTGCCACCACTGAGAGTCTTCAGGACAGTTCCTGTCTGGTACTCACTGACCTTTACTGAAAGAGCTGGCCCAGGTCTGTTCTGCAATCCCTGTCTCCCTCCCTCAGCCCCACACACTGTCCCAACCATGGACCACAAAAAAAGAAAGAAAGGAAAGAAGGAAGGAAGAAAGAAAAGAAAGAAAGGAAGGAAGGAAAAAAGAGAAAGAGAGAAAGAGAAAGAAGGAAGAAAGGGAGGGAGGGGAACAGGGCTCCTTTGCCTGATGTCCCTCATAGCCTGTCTCAGGCTAAGATTGGCATCGTCCTCCAACTTCACATGGGATAGGTAACAACTAAAGGTCCCCATGGAGGATGGTTGATGGGAAAAGGGTGTTGGGCAAGGACCTGGGGCTAGCTATGGGCTCTTATGGATCTCAGGACTTCCATAGCACCCCACCTCTCAGAAGGTTATAAACATGGCAGACAGCTGTGGACCCTAGACTTCTGGCTTGGTCCAGGGCCATCTGCCCTGGTGGCAGAGCCATATCCTCCCTTTCTCTCCCTACTTCTGTTCTGAAGGTCTGAACAGTGCCTCTTGTCAGACTCCTTGGCCTCAGTTGCCTTAGAGAGAGTAATACACCAGCCTTCTGCATAGTGGCTTTTTCAGCATCACTTAAGAGTAGGAAAAGCTAAAGAAAAGCTTTGTTTACATTGAAACACACACACACATACACACACACACACACACACACTTTTAAGTTCTCAAGCCACCCTTTCACATGAGA